AAATGTAGAGCTGCTTTCGTAAATTTGGTTCCTAAAGTTTTACTATGATTATTGCAACAAGATTTACTTTTTTAACTTGCAGGTCTGTTTTGGAAACAAAGGGATTTTTGGATTTATTTCAAGAGTTTTGTGGAGGATTTCTACAGGGTACTAAACTTTCGAAGCACAGAACTACAATCTCACTGCATTTTGGGTAAACTGGTCATGTTATGGTGGGTTGGGTGAACATTGAATGTTACACTGGTTTTGTAAAGTTTGTTACTCCAGATAAGTAACATTGAACAGCTAGTGCCTTGAAGGAAGAGATGGATTTGATTTTAATTGACTTGAGATGCTGCCCCTGCAGTCATGGAGGAGGACCTGTTAGGCCAGTGTCTGCTTTTAATGACGTCTAACCCTAATCTCATAGCAAGTTGTGTGATTTGTCTCAGTGAACCCATGGCTAGTCAAACTGAACAGCATTTCAGTGCTATTACTACTGTCCACTCCCAGCTGATCTGTTCTTTAGTGATTTAATTCTCTAATGGGATTTTGTTTGATTTTTCGCTTCATTGTAAAGTGTTGTCTGATTTTTAAAAAAACTCGATTAAAATCTGTCAAACTAAACACTGTTCTATGTACTTCTGGACTTAATGTGACATTAGGGAAAACAATATTGAATTTCACATTAAGTGGAGGAATGTGGTTCTTGTGCTTTATTTCAGTTTATCCTATACTGAATAAACCCTGTTTAAAAGTTTTAAACCCTGCTTGGGTGGGAACACAATAGGAATTCTGAAAAGAAGCCCAGCGACTAACTATACAGCATTTTTAACCCCCTTCATTCATGCACGAATCTCCAAAGACTGCGCCAGTGGTCTGGGGAAGTTCCTTTGAGAGGGGGTGGTAACCCCTGGGTGTGTGTTAATAAAATTGGGTTTCACTTAAATGTAGCTTTGATTTGCAATTTTACTAATGTTTCAATTGATCATGACTAAAATGAACCTTTAAGCTGACTTGGGCTGGTATAATTAAGCAAATGCAAGAACTGGAGTAAGGAAGCAGCATATATGGTTCGCGTTTTATTACGGGGCGAAACTTTTCCAAAGCAAACATTTGAAACCACCGGTTAGTATCGTTCACTAATTCGAAACTTAACACTGGCATCTGCTGGATAACATAGGTAATGCACCCAAGGCTAGTGACAAGGCACCCGAATGATGTCTAGCAATAGGAATAGTATTTACTTTGACCGGATGAAACGTACTACAAATGTATAACGCTGACACGAATCAGAGGTGATCAAGGACGATGTATTTTAAACTAACACGTATCGTAAACACTTAAAACGCACACATGGCTTGACAAGACACTAACTTAAAACACCCTATAAAGTGGTACCAAGGTTCTCGAACTCACTAGAACTCGAATTTCTTGAAAGTCAAACAAACCAGTTTGACCTAGAACTCAATCTGAATATCAGAAGTCGAACCGTGAACGCTGACCTAATCTAAATTGTACGCGCCAGGAAATGAGTCATACAATGTAATTCTTACTTGAATGCCTTCTTCAGACTGGACGATTAACCAAATAAAGCAGCGCAACATTACAGTAACTAACAATAAATAAACCACTAACTTACGTGTACTAGAGCATTTGTCATTTATTTAAACTTTATTTTACCAGGTAAATTAACTGAACTAGTTCTCACTGCATCACGTGATATTCGGGAGAAATAGCAGATTACGCATCGGAACTGCCTGGGATACAAACGTCATGCGTTTAACTAAACTCTTCAGCCAATAAGGGCAAAGGTGTGTCGTCACGGAGGCGGTTCCAGTTTGTGCAACCGGGTGAGAGGTCGCAATGCATCTAACCGTAATGCATTGCTTTAAGACAGCGCTGTAAGCAAGTCGAACGCACCCAATGACCGGACTGGGGAAACAAACTGAAACGCGGACTTTAATACAGAGGACTAATGACAACAACCAGAAACAGCTGATCACATGGGGATCACACACGAGGTTAACGAGGGGGCGTGGCACACGGAAGGAGCGGACGATCGGGGCAGGACAGGGATAATGTTGGGATAAGATCTTTATGGTTTTGGAAGCCATTAAGAAAAAAGTGCTCTTCTTGTTTTATCCTGTTCATTTTGTGTTTAAATGTTAAAAAACATATTTAGGTGTAATTTTGGGGGGCTGGGAACCAATTAATTGATTTTCCATTATTTCTTATGGGAAAAATTCGATCAGAACTCGAACTGTTTAGGATTCCATCCGTTGTCCGGAACGGATTAAGTTCGAGAACCGAGGTACCACTGTATATGATGCGTACCATGATCTAGCATGGGACATGAGATTGCGCAAAGGGCTGTGACGGTGTTAATTATATATTGTGCTCTTAATAGGCTGTGGTATCAGGAACCTCCCAATTCCACTACTCTCCTAGTCTGATACCTATTGGACAAACCCTCGGATTGTGTTTCGCATCACTTTTAAGCGTTGGTAAACTCTGAATTCAGATTCAGCTGGTACATACGTTTAAAATCAGACACATTTCGAAACGAATGTGCATGTTGTCTAGAAGAATCGCCTGAGAATAATCAGCAGAGATGTTTTTGAACTGACGCTTCGATGCAACACATTTTACATCCCCCTTTCAGAAATCAAGAATAATCTAATTACGGCAATCTGTTTAGTTTTATTTAACAATTACTGTGCTGGTGGGCTCAGAAAGTGTTGCGTCACCTTCTGGCCCCAGACGATATCCTCACAAGTAAAATGAACTGGCGTGTGGACCCAGCGTGGGGCTGAAATACTTCCATGGGTTGCTGGACCACGCTGTCTCCCCAAGATTCTACTGGCTGGATGCTTGACACTTCTGAGCTTGAAAAACCCAAATAATGCAAATATAAACCTAGTACAGTAACTGAATTCATTGCACATGCTACCCCTTGCTCATTATAATGCAGATGCAACTATAATGAAGAATAGTTGTTCACCTCGCACTGGGAGTACCCATCGGGCAGCTCGGCGTCATGCTGGATAGATGCCAAGTGTAAATAGCTGTGTGTGTTTATCATGTATCGTGTCATTATTGTGTGTACGGTGACGTCATGTATGATCTTTAAATATTATCTGTTGTAAATAATGTGCGTTCGTGCGCGCATCGTGTGGCGTATGAGTCAGTCACGGCGGCCAATACGGCGGGCAGTGAGTGGTGATCTTAATTAAGTGTGCTAGGAATATGTCAGTAAAATCCGTTTTTTGTGTTTTTTCCACTCTTGTTTGGCGTTACTATTACATTTCTACCACTATGTCCGCGCAACAGCACACCCTCCTGGGCAAAAAGGGGCCAAATCCGAATTGTGTGACATTTTCATACTGAACGTATTCTCCATGTCATTGTCCTCCTATTCAGCCCTACTCTATTGTCTTCTCTGTCCTATGTTCATTTAGATAAATATTTGCATATAGATATAGTGTAAATCATTACCCCACTCACGGTGACTCACCCTTATTGTGATCTGTCTTGCTGTGTTTTGTATTACACATATATGGTCATGGAGAACGATATTTCGTCTCACTGTATACTTATTGTGTATTGTTAGGATGACAATAAAACTCTACTTATACTTTTTAATAATAATAAAAACACATTTTTTTAAATAAAGCATTCCTAAAATGTATTTTTTGACGTGAAACGCTTGATGTAGCGGTAAGGGTGAACTTGAAACTTGCGGGGTTACTTGAAACTGCATCATCACGATTTCATCATCGGCCAAACAGCTGAGCGACACGTCATAGGGATGGGATTTGGACGGGGGGTGTGAGATTTCGCATAACTGCAGAAGAGATGTTCTGTGGAGCTGAATATACAACGTACATGTAGGCTGGAGGGCAATAAGCAAGTTTTGGAAATGATAGAAAATGATAGGCAACAACCATCAGATCCTTCTCAAAGGCACTGAAATCTTTGTTTCTTGCCAATTCCCGCATAGACACAATCTATCTCAACGGTCTGATATCACAGCAAAAATTCTCTTTAACAGCCAGTTAATTCATGCAAAGTATTTCTCACTCCACTAGATGGAGCCATAACACAACCAATCAGGAATTTCCTGGTTTACTTTTATTTGGTTGAGTGATCATCTCTGCTGACATGTTGCAGTGTTTAAATATTGTATGAACATATTGTTTGTGTTAAGAAAACAAACAAGCACAAAGTAATATAGGAATAGTATGAACAATTATTACTATTACGACAATAAAACATCCAACCCATTGTGTTTCCAGTAATGGAATTGGTGCAGTTTAGGCTGTGGGGTTATCTTCAGAGCGAGATGGCAGAATTAAAAATCCTGAAGATCATGCTGCATAACAGCTTGTTATATGCAAATATCATAGTTTCCTTATAAATTGATAAGCATGTTCCATTTTACCAACATGCAGTCCTGACTGCTTTTGAGCTGCATGTATTTTTGAGACTCAATTCGGTTACAGGCAGTCACTTAAGTTCTGAGGTTGTGTGTGTTGTGCTTTTTATTCCCTAGAGGGAGGCTTTCATAGGCTTAATAGGTTGTAGATAGCAAATACCTTAGAAGTACTTAACATAAAACATACTACATCCTCCAAACACTAACAATGCCAGCCTGTTCAATAAATCGTAAACTAATCTGTGGAGCTGTAATGAAAGGCCAAATAAGCCCTTCAGGAGACAATGTGACCATTAACCGACAGTGAGATTATGTTAAAGAAGTACTTTTGGAACACAAAAGCACTTTCATAACACTACAGTAACAATACATTGCATTATTTATTTGGCAGGCAGTGCATCTGTTCAAGGATTGAAAACTGGACATAATTACTGAAACAGTTTGTGCCTCGAGCTTCTTCTGTAGCCTTGACCCACTGTTTGTTTAAATTGAATTAAAAAGCTTTTTGGTGGACTACAACCCAAAGCAATAAGATATTTGAAAAAACACCAGGAACAAAACAGATTAATGAAGAAGCAGCCAACAATTTTTGTTAGAATTGTTTAATTGTGTAAAACTAATAATCTAGAGTCAGTGTCAAGCAAAGGAATAAATCATATTTTGTTTTGCATTTAGCTGTTCTATGTGGAATGATCTGTCAGTCAGAAATGATTTACACTGTTTAAGACATGTTTTTTGCTGGTTTCATTTGCACAGAGAACTTGTCCACAAAAAAAAAAATGTCCCTGAAGTCAAACATTTTCTACACTGATTAAGGGGAAAACTGAATTTACCCCCTAAAAACCACAACCTAGTTACATTTGGTCCAAAATTACAGCTGACCTACCAAACGCAAGATCTTGATCACCGTAAAAACATGTTAAGATCACCATAAAATACACTTAAAAGTCACACAACAAAAGTTAAGATCCTGCACCACTGTGTTACATACTACATTTTAGACTGACAGCAAAATGAATGTTGGGGCAGAGCACTGGCCCATCACCCCCTTGAACCATAGGTCAAACGTAGAAGAGAAACGGGGTGATCAGGGATCAGAATAGCGTCAGCACCATGATTAGCCACTACAGCTCCATTAGCTGCAGAGCATGATGGGATATCATTATCCATACCCCAGTCCTAGATCCCCTGTCAGATACAGTGAACGATAAGCACAGAGAAGGCCGAGCCAGCAGCTAGGCCAAGGGTGAGGAAGAAGGACATGACCACCCCGGTGGGCTCCGCCAGGTCCCGCGGCACCACCTTAGGCCCATAGATCATGGGCAGTGTGCCCAGATATCCATTGCTGAGGCCCAGAAGTGACACAAAGATCACAGGGTAGAGGTCATGGCCAAAAATAACCGTGTGCAAGTGGTCCCGGGGCTGGTAGTTGCAGAACATGAAGAGTGGGACCAAGACTGTCCGAGCCAGAACCAGCCCCGGCAACACCTGACTGGTGGGACCTGGCACTTGGAGCCAGGCGGTGGCCTGTCGTCCGCAGAAGTCAGAGGCGCTGTACAGGAAGAAGCTGGTCAGAGGCACAAAGTAGGTGGTGGTCCAGGGGCTGCCAGAGTCCTGGTGCACTGACTGAATCCCAGACGACACGGCTGGGAAGACTATGATAGAGATGAAGAAGACGTAAAACACGCAGGCGCCCAGCACCCAAGTCTTCTTCAAGATGGGCTTCAGCGGTGGTATGGAGACCTCTTCTCTGGATCTCACTGGTCCATCCCTCTCTTCACACAGCCTGTCAGGCAGCACCGCAGTGCTACTACAAGCTGCCATGGACATGTAGTACCTGGGAGGGGGGGGGCACACTGATAAACAACAGTCTTTATGCTTGACCAGACATTTCCTTTACAACTTAATGCTATTCTGAGATACGCCACTCAACAGGAGAGCCAGCTGATATTAAAAGCGCCAGGCAGTCACATAATAGCCGGTCAGTTCCTCCAGGAATGTGCACGGAAGATCTCCTAAGTACTTCCCTCCCCCTGACGGACTTCTTGACGATTAATGCTCTGCAGCAGATTTTTTTCCCCCCCATATATAAATATGTTTGTCTGGCATATATCCTCCAGCTGGCTAAGTGTTTAATCAATCAGTGCACTTTAATCAATAAAAAGTGCTGATCCGGTCACAGCATGATTCACTGAGCAGAAGCGCTCTGATCTCCTCCAGAGGCTGATGAGTCATACTCATGAGAAACTGCTGGTTGACGCACAGATGGCCGTTTATTTCCAAATCTTCAGCCCATTCATATTTAAACTTTAATAATTATAAACTTAAAACCTCAAACATTCATTGTTCTTCAGGAGGGCTAGAGTGTTAGAATTTATCCTCTGGCAGAAGTTGCAGGCACCGGTGATAATTAGTGTGACCGCAGTGTTGTCTTTGTTGGTACACTGTTCTGGCAAGAATTATGGGCAGATCTGTCATCCTGGTAGAAAAAAAAAAAACACTTTTCATAATTCTGCTGCCAACTAGAAGCAAGTTTTTAGACTCATAGTTTATACCATTAAGAGTCTTTTTTTTTCCCTTTGTGACTTTGGAGATGTTCTGAACCATAATGACCTACAATCAGTCTGAAAGTCTTCCGTCTACCTGTAGCGCAGAGCAGACAGACACCAGATTACACGCCAAATAGAGAGCAGTACATGCACACACACATAATTTCCTGTCAGGCCTCTCTGTTGCTTGAAATGCATTGATCTTTTTAAATCTAAACTTTACCTTGAATTTCTAATCCACTACGAGTCAGCAGATAAACAACAATAAGCTGAAAACAACTTATCTGTCATTAAAAAAACACCCACAACACATTTCAGTCATGCAAAGTTAACATTATTCAGACTTAGTGTCCTAGATTTCGCATCAATTAACTTCACTGGAGGCTTACAGCGTTTGTCGACTGATGTGAATGACGACCTAAATATTTTCATGCTACACTCTTGTAATCGTAAATGATGCATGTTTCCAACCACAGCGAAACTGTCAGACCCCTTTCTGTTACTTTCCTGGTGTGAATAGAGGAACTGCAGTCAGTTCCTCCTTCTTAAATAACATAATACAGCCCTTGATATTTTATATATTTATATTTTAAATGAGAAAATAACTACTGGCTAAGTAGTGCATTATACAAAGTGTCTTTTTCTTCTTCTTTTTCTTCTTTGAGCCTGATCTGTCCATCCAACCCCCAAAATGGATAGGGGTCTAGCTAACGGTCACGGTGTGCAAGCCTTCATTAACATGACATCAAGAAACTCAACACAAGAGTCAGGTTTCGACAGCTGCCGAGTTTCACTCAGCTGTGGTTTTCCAGACCACTTTAGATGTGACACTGTCACACCGACAATCTGTTCCTCTTATTTGTCACAGTCTCCCTGATTCCCTGAAGCCTCACAATCTCAAGTTGAGAGTGTCTGATTGTCCAAAGTTAAGAGTCCATGGAAGTGATTTGGATTTCGTAATTTGATTATTGCGCCAGCCCCAAACTTTTCCTCAAATGACCCCAGCCATGCCAAATATTTTATTTCACCACCGGATAATATGATTAAGCTAATCAGCTAATCTTCAAGCTCATAATTAGTCAAGTCAGGTGCGCTGGCTGTGAAATATACCAAATTAATGGCGATTGCTCAAGAAAATGCTTGGAAACCACTGAATTACACTTATTCCTGTAAATCATTAAGCGCTGGAAAAAATGTGAAACTATTTGATGTTTATAGTCATTAACTGAAATGCTAAGAAGTTTGTGCAGTTTACAGTCATTAATACAAGAACTGATGTTGCCATTAGTTATGGAGAAAGTTGGGGACTGCAGAGTTTATCATTACTGGTAGATTCTGGGATTTCTGTCTGATGGTGGAGCCACTGACCGTGAGTATGTCAGTCTGGGCAGAAGGAGGTACATGCCGATGCAGAGCAGTGTGAAGACATCTGCGGTCAGGAAGTAGGCCAGAGCGCTATCTGTCACATCCTTGGCTACTGCCAGGTCCACGATGGATGCCACTGCACTCAGAGTGCCCCCCATGGCTTGACCTGAGGAGTGCATGGAACAGAATGGAAGGTAAATAACTACAGGTTGATTGTATATCAGGTACCAATATACATGTGAATGCTAGCTAATGGCCAGCCATAATGTGCTGTAAACTTTCTTTATATGGTGGATTTCCATCCATCCATCCTTCACTGCTTATCCAATCCCTGAATGGGATGCCAGTCCATCTCAGGACAATGTATGTGCCTCTCACTCTTCTGCCATGTACCTACCAGATATGAGCGCCTGTGAGATCCTCATGGGGAAGTGGCCGCTGATCCCAAAGACACTGCCTGAGAAGATGTTGGAGGCCCCGCTGACCAGGGCGACGCTGGCCAGAGTCCCGGCGAAGAACTGAGTCTGGTGGTCTGACACGTCCACCACGACCAGGACCGTGGTCACGATGAAGACGGCGAGGATCATGCCCAGTGAGGTGAGGATCCGGAATCTTGAGGAGAGTCTGTCAACATGCATGTGGTCATGCTTTGTTTTCTGAAGTGGTTGACGCTGAATGTGTCACTGTTCAGCTCACCAAATATTACACGCAGATACATCACGTTTGATTATAACACAAACAACCTCTGCAACCTGACAAAACGATATAGGTCTGTCAGGTAGCATATAGCTAAATAAGCCTATAATGAAATTAAACGGCTCCTGTTTGTAAAATCTAGCTTGATCTGGATAATTCAGGCGCTTAGCAGCAAGTGCTAGACAGCAGAGTTGAATAGTATCTCAGAAACATGTTGTTTTCTCATTAGACTAAATGCCACTAAAAGGGGAGTGAAAAACAGGGCGTTGTTAGCCTGCCGTCCCCGAGCCGTCAGCAGTGTGATGTCCTGATTGGACGTGGGAAGTCAGCTGGACTAAAAACCAGTCTTTATCACTTTATTACTCTGAGCTGCATAAACACTGACCAACAAGCAGTCCTGGAGAAGGCTGAGTCACGTCCTAAACAATAGAGTTTTTCAGACCCACTGCAGGGCAAGAATTTGTTGTCCAAATGGTTCACATAGACTGCTTGTTCAGTACTCAGCACATTGATCCAGATTAGTCCATATTCCAGGGCTACCTGCCCCTGCCCCTGGAGAACGACCCCCCAGCACTGCTTAGGTGCAGCACTAATTTAACACACCTGATACAGATAAATAGGCCCTTCAGTAACATCTCAGTATTGCAGCCAGTTATGTTGAAGCTAAGGCGGCTCTAATACTGAGATATTACTGAAGGGCCTGATTGTCTGTATCAGATTTGTTAAATTAAGGGCTGCACCTAAGCTCTGCTGAGGGGGGTAGTTCTCCAGGGGCAGCGTTGGGCAGCCCTGCCATATTCTAACCCACTGATGTTAATCTGAAGTTCTACCCGTATGTTAGTCTAGTTAGCTGAGCACCTTTTTGCACAGTTTTTCCACCAAACTAGTTTTAAAGAGAATATCAAAGTGAAGCAAAAGATTTATTGGGGTGACTTATTTATCACAGTCCTGAGCTTCTTAAGCTTGCTGGAAATGGTGACATACCTGTTGACCAGGAGGTAGTTTAGGACCAGACACAGCACTGAGGGCACAGTGGAAGCAATGGAGAGGTAGCTCTCGAAGTAGTCCTACAGACACACAACACCGTTAAACACCCCGGCCAGAAATTTCAGGCGCTGCAGGTCCACACATGTTTAACCTGATATCTCAGATTACATAATACACCACATTTAACATACCTTCTCTGTCAAAATATGTGTAACAACAGAAGTTTCTCTTATTACAACAAATCGGGCATCTGATGCTGATCTCACATTAGACTCTTCTCTTTTCTGCAAGTCAGTGTCTAATGTAGATTGATATCAGGCGTTATTAAAATATGGGAGGTTTGTGATCGATGGCAACGTCAACGAGCTCCAGTGGCACAATCGGTCAGTGTGTGGTACGTATAAAGAAGCATGATGCAGAGCGATGCTGAGGCTGACTGTGAGCCTCACCTGCAGTACGTTCGTTTACTGAGTTTCAAAGCATGGTGACAAGATATTGCCGTGCTTACGTGAGGTTGCATCTCATGCTGCAGCATTACGAAACAGTTTGACACCAAACAAGGATCGACACTCTACAGCTAAACAAACAAACGAAAAAAACAGCGACTGACGAAACCGAAACAATTTTTTGCCTTTTCCCTGCAAAGAACCACAGCTTCGAAAAAAGGGAAGTGGAAAGGAAGGAGACACCATAAAGGCAAGATTATTTGCCGTCCTCCTGGGAACACGCTGTCAGCACTACACCTTCTACCTTCTTCAACTGGGCAGCACACTAGAGAAGATGGTGTCCTCAAATACAAGAGATCACATGACCAGTCAAAAGTCTCCTTCCCTATGAACTTTCCATACCAGCTGAAACAGCATCTTAATCTCTCTCATGCTCTGAGCCGCAGGGAAAGGCAGCAGTCTTTTGTGAATTAGGTTTGTTCCTGGGGACTGTGGTGTAGAGAACTGGTTACATGGTCTCTCACATCATGTAAATGAAAACAAAAATGACACGGGTAGGGATTGGAGGCTGGTACATGTTCCATTAAGGTCTTCAGGTCATAAACTTTAGGGCAGGGCTATTCAAATCACGGTCCTCAAGGGTCGAGTTCTGCTTCCTTTACCTGTGAGCCAGGTGTGAAGCCCCTGTGGCCAATCAGAATCGGTAATTATTAAACTACCTGTGAGAGCTGAAAACCGGGATTTGGAATCGAGAGCCAGACTTGAAGAGCCCTACTGTAGGGTGTACCTTCTCCTTAATCACCTATCTGTCGTGCTTCTTTCCCAGCACTCCACGCTTCCCCTACCTGACAGCTCACTTCCCATGAGATCCACAGGGAAGGCCGTGTGCTATGAAAGGGATCTCACTGCTGGCTTGCTGTCACGGGACCTTCCTGGTGCACATCTGACTCAGTGGCACGGTCTCCGTCACCTAGCAACACGTCTCCATGTGGAGTGCTTCCCTGAACACTGTCATCAGCACTTTCACGGCATAATGTTACAATTAGTAGTGCACTCCTTCTTATCCTTTTGACATTTTCAGAATAGTGAGGAAGGTAAACCAATTAAAAGGCACTACATTTCTACAAGAAAGGCAGCATCCAGCAGTACAATTCTTAGATTGTGCCCGCAGCATGTTAGGTCTTCAAAAATCATTAAAAACACAGACAAGAACACTGGACAAATTAACCCAAACTTTCAATATAGGTGAAAAATCCTTATTAAATGTTTCCTGCACCAATCTATGTTCACAACATCTACACCCTTGACTTACTTCCCATACTGAATGTGTATAAAGCACCATATTAAAACAATAAAACAACTTTTTTCATTATCATGTAATAAATAAATAAATACAGATGTATGCTGAAAAATCTACAAGCAATTAGCACATGGTCTGGTTTCTCCTACTGCAAATGGATTCTGGGCCCATTGACCGTGGCAAGCCCATACTCACTCAAAGTGTTCCAGCCCCTACCAGGCTTTCCGTTACAGATTTAAGCTTAATGATAGAGACTTTAAAATATTAACAAAAACCATTAAACATATTCAGAAAATGCAGTATTCAGCAACATATACAGAACTAACCTTTGAGGATCTGCCATCTTTAAGACAGAAAATATGATGCTTTTAGCTAGAATTAAAAAAACATCTAAAATACACTTAAATTATTAAACATTTTCACTTTGTTATTCTTCTTTCTTCCAAACAGCTAATTCTCTATGGTCATTGCCGGTTCATGACTTTTCTGCTCAGCTGACCCAGGTCTGACATCAGTTCAAACAGCTATGGACTCTGTTAGCCCGGTTCCGGAGGTCAAAGGTCACCAGCACTTCTACCCATTTTTTATGCAAAGACTAAAACTCGGGTCACATGAGATGGCTAAACTGATATTTAAGCAGAAACATCTCCTTCACAAGCCCTTATCTGGCATTATTCGATTGGACATTTAACTAGATTTTTAATCATAGAACTATTAACATAATACTGCTAAGTGGAACAGTATTTCAGAGACTTCACCAATCTTATCATTAGGGTTGTCACGATATTAGAATTTTGACTTTGATGTCGATACTAAATCTAGCAACACAATTTTCGATACCGATACGATACCATGACACGTTCTCACAAATGGTCTCATATAACCTCAATTACATCCTCCGTACACTGGCTCCCTGTGGGATACAGCATCCAATTCAAAATTTTGCTACTCACCCACAAAGCCTTTCATGGTCACGCCTCCCAATATATCACCGACCTTCTGCAACATTATTCCTGCGGCTGTACTTTGAGATCTACACAATCGCATTTCCTTTCAGTTCTTCGTACCAGATCAAAGACCCGTGGGGATTGTGTATTGCAGTGTGTGGCCCCAAGGTTATGGTGTACAGTGTCTTTATGATCTGCTCCATCAACTGAGATATTTAAGAACCAACTCAAAACATTTCTGTTTAAGCAGGCTTTTGGATAATTTTACTGTGTTTTTTTTCTAATCTATGTTGCTTGAATTTCTGTGTTTTACAGTTGTATATGCATACTGTTCAGTGCCTTGTGACCTTTGCTTGTGAAAGGCACTTTATAAATAACTTTTACCTGATTACTTAAAAAAATGAAAACAATAAAAGACTAAATCTTATAGCCCAAAAGTCAATGGATTTATTGTTTTGGATTTTATCTGCCATTTATAAGTTTTATATATATTTTTTGAATAAAAACAAAATCTATACTAGATCTTCTAATAAAATAACCTTTAAATAACAAACGAAGTTAATTTTTTCAGCAGTCAACATCAATACAAAAGTGTTTCACTAACAAACTGAAATACCTTAAATAAACCTAAATAACTTAAGCTTAATTTAATAAGAACTATAATAACTAAACAGTCTCACTGCCCCCAACATATTCACTCTAAAATGAGTTTTATGTAGTTCCTTTGCCAAAAAGACTAACACGATAACTTTGTCTTCTAGGTCAGTCTCATTCGCCTTGGACAGCAGATTAAGCCAGAAGGACCGAGGCCCAGCAGGGAGCAGGAACACAGAGATCCTACCTGGGAGAATGTGCTGGAATGGGCAAAGCAGCAGTATGCCCAGATTCAACGTGAGGCTTTTAAGGAACAGTTCTGCCAGATGGACCTCTGTTATACTCCCAATTCCACTGGTTGCTACCTTGTTTCTCTGTGATGATGTTGGACAACAATCTTTTCTGGTCTTTTTTCTTTATAACTTGTTCCTCTTCCTTGTGTTGCTTCTGTCGACCCTCTATCCTTGCCGGAAGTATCTGAACTATGGATGGTCTGAGCTGAAGTTCTTCCATCACCTTTCTCCAGAGTCACAAAAGATTCCTTGAATCTTGGCTCAAGATAGGTAGCAATGTTCTGGTATCTTCAAAATGTTTCTTTGTGTCAGTTTTGATGTTTCCCTTCATCTCACTGGCCAGGATACTGTTAGATTCATCTTCTCTAATACATGAACAGATTTTCCATGTCAAGGGAAGAACAGGATAGAGAGCAGGATCTCTCAACACTGAGAGCAACTGTAAATATACTCAGTGGTCACAAAGTAGCACACCTCTTACATTTCCAGTATAATGTCACTGTTCTTGGGCATGAGATGCCATTTTTTAAGATTCTCTGCTAGAACAGCACAGACAAACCTCTCTGGCATGGCACAGGTTGATTTCCATCTGGGGGGCTTGTCATGAATGAACTTGTGTTATGGTATCTGCAGTGATTTTTGCTTCTCTTTCAATACTCTGGTTGTTTCGTCTGACCTAGAGCAGTGGTGGGCAATGTTATCTTCAAAGGGCCAGTGTGTATGCAGGTTTTTGAGATGACCTTTAGATCCCCTGTTCAAGCCCAGGTGTAAGAACTCTTCAGCCAATTATTCCTCTACTCAGTAGTCTATTTCGTTCCTCTGTTTCCTCCTCACACACCTCTCCCGTAAATCAAACTTGTGCAGTCCCTTTCTGATGCATGTACTTTGACATCAACTGTGGCAAGAGCTTCCTGTATGTCCCATGATGACATTTTAGTTTTTTTTGGAGACTTCTTTCAGCATCTTGGTGTTTTGCTCTTGGACTCTTGCTAGGACAGCCTGACCTGGTCATGTTGGCGGTTGTTTTAAATGTTCTGTACTTGTAAATTATTTTACGGACAGTGGAATGGCTGATTCCAAACTGTCTTGAGATATTTTTATATCCCCTCCCAGACTCATATGCATCTACAATCATCTTCTCATTCTGAAGGCCTCAGAGAGCTCTTTGGATCTCACCATGGTGACATCACTCACTTCAACAATTAAGAGCAAACCAGACTAAATATCTGTGGTTTAAATAAGACAGACTCCACCTAAAAGCTCTGTTACGATGTTCTAATCATTTTTATCTGATGTGGGGCACCTGAATCTAATTCTAGGCATTTTAAATAGCAATGAATGTGAGGGCGACCTAACTTTTTCCTCAGTGGAAATTGGCATCTCAGTTAATTTCTTTTGTTAAATAACTGAATTTGTTTCTTGTTTTTGCATAGATGATTCAATTACATCCCCTTTACCTACAGATATAATTTGAAAGAAGACTTAATATTGATATGTTGATATTTCTTAATAAAGAAGCAAATATTTAATGGGGTGTCCTAATTGTTTCACGTCATTATTATGTGGGGTGCACTATTGCAGATTTGATGGAAGGTTGATTAGTATTTGGTGGGTTGGTGCAGCTTGCCTTCCATGGAAGTAGGAGGCAATAATTATGGGGAAATGTTTATATACTTTGCTGTTGGGGTTTAAGATATGCTTACACTGCTACAGTATATTTGTTGGCAACAGTAGTTGTATAAATCTAATTTCAAAATTAGATTATGATGCAATTTCAATATTAAATTTACTAATGAATTCGATAAGCTAATGTTCAGTGTTATTTTGGCAGGTGTTTTTATTTAGCTTTAGTCATTCACAGATTTTTTGAAATTGGGCAGATTTTAGTCTAACAAAAATGACGCAGATCGAGTTACAAATTAGTTGACTAAAACCTAGTTCAACAAGAACAAGAAGTTTTAAATACAGTGGTACCTCGGTTCTATAATCCTAAATCCTAAAAAGTTCGAGTTCTGATCAAATTTTTCCCATAAGAAATAATGGAAAACCAATTAATTGGTTCCAGGCACCCCAAAATTGCACCTAAATATGTTTTTTTTTTTTTTTAGCATTTAAACACAAAATGAACAGGATAAAACAAGAAGAGCATTTTTTTCTTAATGACTTCCAAAACGATAAAGATCTTATCCCAACATTACCCCTGTCCTGCCCCGATCGTCCGCTCCTTCCGTGTGCCACGCCCCCTCGTTAACCTCGTGTGTGATCCCCATGTGATCAGCTGTTTTTGGTTGTTGTCATTAGTCCTCTGTATTTCATCCGCGTTTCAGTTTGTTTCCCCAGTCTGGTCATCGGGTGCGTTCGACTTGCTTACTGCGCTGGCTTAAAGCAACGCATTCTGATCCTGACGCAATGCATTACAGTTAGATGCATTGGGACCTCTCACCCGGTTGCACAAACTGGAACTGCCTCCGTGACGACACACCTTTGCCCTTATTGGCTGAAGAGTTTAGTTACACGCATGACGTTTGTATCCCAGGCAGTTCCGATGCGTAACCTGCTATTTCTCCTGAATATCACCTGAAGCAGTGAGAACTGGTTTTCAGTTAATTTACCTGGTAAAATAAAGTTTAAATAAATGACATAAATGTTCTAATAGTACATGTAAGTTAGTGGTTTATTTATTGTTAGTTACTGTAATGTTGCGCTGCTTTATTTGGTTAATCGTCCAGTCTGTGAAGAAGGCATTCAAGTAAGAATTGCATTGTAGTATGACTCATTTCCTGGCGCATGCAATTTATATTAGGTCAGCGTTCACGGTTCGACTTCTGATATTCAGATCGAGTTCTAGGTCAAACTGGTTTGTTCGACTTTCAAGAAATTCGAGTTCTAGTGAGTTCGAGAACCGAGGTACCACTGTATATTCTTAAGCCAAAACATCGTTTCTTGCCCCTGTCTTTTCTACAAGTTCAGAACAGTCAGATATTTTGCCTGTTGCCATATTTGGTCCGTGCATGTTTCTCAGTAAACTTATACAGAATAAAGAAACGACTGTGAGATAGGCTGCTGCGCTGCAAATTCATGTGTCCATTAGCGTGACCACAATTTGCCAGACAAGATGGTGTCACCGTTTCAATACCGAAATCATGACAAGCTTTCTTACCACATTATAGAAAATCTATGTGGACCTGCCTGTGATTGATCACTTTAATAGTTAAAAAAATGGCTACCCCCCCACCCACACTCACACTGAGGTTGGAGTGCGCCCCCCCCACTCATACTGAGGTCAGAGCACGCCCCCCCCCACTCACACTGAGGACAGGGCTCACGGCTACCCCCCCCACACTCACACTGAGGTCAGAGCACGCCCTCCCCCCACACACTCACACTGAGGTCGGAGCGCGCCCCCCCACACTCACACTGAGGTCGGAGCACGCCCCCCGCCACACTCACACTGAGGTCGGAGTGCACCCCCCCACACTCACACTGAGGTCGGAGCGTGGCCCCTCGTGGCCCAGGTCAGACTCGTTGCTCAGCTTGTACAGCCAGTATTGCTTGGCTGTGATGAAAAAGTTCCAGGGCAGCAACGAGCCCAGGCCCAGAAGGAAGAAGATGATATAGACCAGGCAGTAGGTGTCTTTCGGCTGGTGCCGGACACCCAGAGTCCCCACGGGGTGCTCCCCTGCCAGCAGGGGGGCCTCGTCACCTGCCACATCCAGGCCTTCGTCCTTGTCTTCCTCAGGCATGGCAGAGGTGACCGTGGTGCTCGACTAGGAGTTCACGCTTGCCTAAAAGGGCATCAGGGTAATACATTCATGGGAAAGGGGGAGGCGACAAACAAATGACAACATAAAAGGGGGAGCAGGGTAAGGAAGGAGTGTGACAGAGGGGATGAGGAAGGAGATGGGGGGGTGGGGGGAAAGATGAACATGTGTGAGGTTGTGATGGCAACCCAATCAGGCAAAAAATATGAAACTAATTCAGATTATCTTGCACATTAGACTGCAGTGTACATAAAACAGCACGAAAAAAAAATCAGTGTATATAAATACAACAGGCTGATCTTCAAGTTATAGTAAAATATAATAAATCATAAGAGCAAGAACAAAAAACAACAATAATAATTATTAATATTTTTATATAGTACATTACAGTGCTTGCTAGTTAATAGTACAGTACATACATCAAATAAAAACAAGACAAAGCTAACCACAGAACCAGATTTAAATACATGTTTAATCAACATGCACACTGCATGAAAACACAGCACCAGACCCACAGCTATGATAAGAAGAGGTCAGCCAAGATGGACTGAGCTGTCCCACACTGCAGTAATGCAGTTACACTGCATGCAGTGTTGTTGTTTTCTGCTTACTGAACGTGGCGGTAGGGCTGCTCAAGGGTGCAGGTTTAGCAAAGAAGGTTAATTTGCCGCGTTATGCACAGTATTCACACAAAAGTCTTAGTACCACAGCAGGCTCACCAGCAAAGCCAAGCACACACAAAGACACGCATTTCTTCAAGCTCACAAGGCACTAACGTGATTGTAGGTCCAGCTCTCCCCTGTGTCACCGCAGTAATGTCCTCCGCAGTGCAAGAGGCCCAGTCAAACCTGGGGTTTAACTGAGGGACGAGGCCCCCTCCTGCTGCCTCCGTAGCTCTGCAGATAGGATGAACACAGAGCTGGGTGAGCAAACCCCCATATGATGTGTCAGCATGTGTCACAGCTTTAATGCCCCTGAAATAACATACAGAGGGTGTGTACCAACATTCAACGCAAACACCACAGCAGTCATTAAGTAGGCCAACCCTGAATTAGTCTTACTTTACAGTAACTCGTAATATATCCAGGTTTAACAGTTCAGACTGTATCACCCTTCCAACTACCTTTAAACACCCTTAATCTAATGTAAGATTTCCCCATTTTCCACTACATCTGAGACAAAACGCAAAAGAAAATTTTAAAAACCATAATACACCCTTCATTGAAACATGCGTAGATGATGTGAATTATTTTCCAAAAAATTACACTAGAAAGCAGATTTCGTGATGCAGCCTAGTGTTACAAAATCTGAGTAAGGTTTTTTATGCACAGAAAGCATGAACAGAAAAATGACCAGGCTGATACATCTGGGGAACATATAGGACAGCAGGTAAAGATGTAAAAAGATATTTTTGAAAACTGACATTTAATTTAACACGTTTCAAAATAGCTTTACATTGACTAGAAAACAACAACAGTCAGCAACAGTCCAAAAATACACTAAGGTGAATTGAAGCTGCCATATTGTCCGTAGGTACAGTCGTGTGAAAAAATTAGGACACCGCATTAAATGTTTAGTTCTTTATTAAGAAATATCAACATATCACTATTAAATCTTCTTTCAAATCATATGTGTAGATAAATGTGATGTAACTGTATCACCTATGCAAAAAAAAGGAAACAAATTCACTTATTTAACAGAAGAAATTAACTATGATGCCAATTTCCACTCAGGAAAAAGTTAGGACACCCTCACATCCATTATTATTTAAAATGCCTAGAGTTACATTCAGGTGCACCACATCAGGTGAAAATGATTAGAACATTATTACAGAGCTTTTGGGTGGAGTCTGTCTTATTTATACCATAGACATTTAGTTTGGTTTGCTCTTGATTGTTGAAATGAGTGGGATCCCCAAAGTGAGATCCAAAGAGCTCTCTGAGGCCATCAGAAAGAAGCATGTAGATGCATATGAGTCTGGGAAGGATATAAAAAGATCTCAAGACAGTTTGGAAATAGGCCATTCCACTGTCTGGAAAATAATTTACAAGTGGAGAACATTTAAAACAACTGCCAGTATGGCCAGGGCAGGCTGTCCTAGCAAGTTCAGCCCAAGAGCAGACCCCAAGATGCTGAAATAAGTCTCCAAAAATCCTAAAATGTCATCACATGTCATGCAGGAAGCTCTTGCCACAGTTGCTGTCAAGGTACATGCATCTACCATCAGAAAGAGACTGTGCAAGTTTGGTTTACATGGGAGCTGTGCAAGGAGGAAACCCTTGCTGTCAAAAAAATACCAGGGCATGACTGAAGTTTGCCAGAGACCCACCTAGACAAAGACCGGGACATTTGGAACAATGTGCTTTGGACAGATGAATCTGAAACTGAATTATTTGGACATAGTAACAGAGGACAGTTTGGCATAAACCAAAGACAAATTTTGAGCAAAAGAACCTCATGCCAGCTGTGAAGCATGGGGGTGGAAATGTCATGGTTTGGGGCTGCTTTGCTGCAGCAGAACCTGGCCAGCTCACCGTCATAGAATCTACTATGAATTCTTCATCATATCAGAGGGTGCTTGAGGACAATGTGAGATCATCTGTCTAAAAGTTGAAGCTGAAGTTGGGGTAGATCATGCAAATGACAATGACTCAAAACATTCCAGTAAATCTACCAAGGAATGGCTTACAAGAAAGAGTTCTGGAATAGTCAAGTCAAAGCCCGGATCTGAATCCTATTGAGATGCTGCGGGGTGATTTGAAGAGGAAGTGTATGCAAGACACGCATCAAACATCACACAGCTTAAGGAATTCTGCATTGGAGAGTGCGGAAAACTTTCTGCCAGTCGATGTCAGAGATTGATAGATGGATATAGGAAACGTCTCATTGAAGTTATTTCAGCCAAAGAGGGAAATACTAGCTATTAGGGCACAGGGTGTCCTAAGTTTTTCCTCAGTAGGCATTGGCATCTTAGTTAATTTCTTTTGTGAAACAAGTGAATTTGTTTCTTTTTTTTTTGCATAGGTGATACAGTTACATCACCTTTATCTACACATATGATTTGAAAGAAGATTTAATAGTGATATGTTGATATTTCTTAATAAAGAACTAAACATTTAATGGGGTGTCCTAATTTTTTCACATGACTGTATGTGTGTGTGCCCTGCTTTGCACCTATAGCTTCCGGGACAGGCTCTGGACCCCCCTGACCCTGCACAGGACAAGCAGGTATAGAAGGTGGGTAGGTGGATGGATGGATAGATGAAAAACAAGTTTTTTTTGTTTTTTTTTTAAATCGGAATAGAAATCCACTGATGTACAATATGTGGACAAACCTGAGCCTGATTCTGGTATATTTTATCATCAGTAACATGATGACAGTCATGTTCATTCTGTGGTTTGCTTGATTCGGTTTGTGAAAGAAATAGCAGTGAGGGCATGAACGTTTTCTCCGTGTGAGAAATCACGTGACTCCTCTTTTCTCTACTGCAATCCCCAAAGAAAGAGGGGATGGCAGGATGTGAGGAGGCAGCATGCGGCTCAGTGGGGTTAGGCCTTTGTGCCTATGACTGGAAGGTCGCCAGTTCGAGTCCCATCCTCCACAGGATAGTCACATGTCCATTGTCCTTCAGCAAGAAATTGAACCCCAAACGCTCCAGGGTCCCCAGATAAATAGCTGACCCAGTGCTCCAACCACAAGCTTTCCTCTTACCTAATATATATGCATCCATGTCTCAAAGGAGAGCGTGATGAAAAGATGCATTCCAATATGCTTCAGCAAATAAATCATTTCATGATGAAAACGGTTTCATGTCAGGTCAGTATCATGTCATGTTTTGATTGGAGCAGACTGACCACGGTCAACATAGCCGCACAACTGACAGTAAATGGACCAAAACCCTTACTGACAGCTGTATGCCATTCTATGTACTATTCTGCCACTATACGTCTATGCAGACTGTTAGATGTCCCTGTACCGGAATTGAGTTTCCTAAACGTGTACAGCTGTCAGACACAAACATCTTGCTGTTGGCATTAAATAAATAACTCAATAACACCGCAACCCAACTTCAATCAGCTAACTAAAACCCTTACTACAACTATGAAATCGATGTGGCAAAATCCGTGGGACTCCCACAGTCAATACGTAGGTAAACATGCTGTTCTTTTTATGGTACAATTATACCATTTTAAAACGTTAGGGATAAAAAAAAAAAACGGTATCGGGCAACGGAAGCAACGAAACCAACAGAAAACATCACGTGTGTCATAGATTGTCACGAGTGTATTTCTTTTTTTCTACTTCTGGTTAAAAAACTCTTAGACTTCACATTGCACCTCCTTAGTGGGAAAGCTGCACTCACTTTCGCAGCATTACAATTTTACAATGTTAAAAACAGTTAAAAAACACAATTTTAGAGCCAAGAAACTATATGCAATGTGAATGCATAAACAAATATCACATCTAGGAATTATTTTCAGGCCATTTTGTATTACTACCTTAACACGCCGGTCTGATGTAAAGTGCGCCACATGACGATTATTGTTTATTGTAGGGTAAGTACATTAACACATCGTCGATGTTAAGAAAGATCGCACATTTACAAAGTTAATGCCACTTTGATCACATGACCCGAAAACAACCCATTAACCGCACCGCGCTGTTTACGGCCGAGCATTACCACAAATGTAGGGCACATATACCTTACTATTTCACCTCAGTTTACCATGATCTGTTTCCTGCCTGCTCAACAACTGTGCCCGCAGTAACTTCACGAGATTTTGGTGTTACAGACGTAAACCGGGCATGCACTTGAGAATCCTACGGCAAAACACAGTATATACTTTATATACAGTATACACAGTATATAATTAAACCCACGTATATGGACAAGAAACTCCAAGTGTACTCACAAGCTTTCCAGTCACTTCAGGGTTTCAGTCTGCGGTCCCATTGTACCCCAGCCCTCACCGAAACCCAGATGTTCTGTCTCCATGTAAAGACCTGACAAATCTACCGCGGGCGTCATCGTTCGCGCAGACCTTGGTAGCGGAGCGAAGAGCGCCGGATTGGAAAAAGGCGCCAAGATGAAGATACGTCCTCGTGTAGCCGAAGTTGACGGCTTTTCAGTTACAGCCTAAATAACCTATAACTCTGCCGACGTGACAGAACTTTTATGTTTCATATAACAAATTTAGCCAATTCATAATTAACGTTTCGCAGGAGACTAGAAGTTTACGTGAAATAATTTACATTTATAGCAATTCTATTCAATATATTTTAGGTCTCTCTAAATAGATATAACGCGCAGCAAATTATGTCGCACATCCCCCCTCCCCCCACACATTTATATATTAGGCCTACAGTTGTTTTTAACTTACCTGAATCTTCTCCGCACTCCGCGGCCACCAGCCGAACACCCCGGCATCTCCTCTCAGCCCGTCACCTCCACAAACCCCGGTTTTTAGCGGTAGGTTAAATGTTATGAAATGTAAGTGAGGCTTGTAATGTTGAATGTTTGTCCATTTCTGTTTGCAAATCTCACTCCAGCCAGTTGACCTTGCGTGGGCTACATATGAAATACAGGATATCCTTATCGCATATTTTGGGGTTATTTATCAATAGACTTTAACTGGTATTGCATGTGTAGTAATTTTAAAAAGTGTTTCAGATTTACCTGTTTTACGGACTGGTTCCTAAACCGAGGGACAGGAGTTACCCCCTGTGTAACCCACTCCTCTCACTAGCCAGTGGATGGATGTTGCAGAAGTGTGCGCTTCTCTCTAAAGCGGTTCATTTTATCATTTAATAATGCAGTTATGATTATCTTTAATCATAATAATCTCACCTTTCATGTATTTCTACGAATCTTTAGTAATAATAAAAACATCATTTATTTGAAGTATAGGCTTGCGTGGGCAAAAATGTTCGGTAGCCCAGCAGAGGGCAGTGTGGGCAAGTATTTTGGTGAGCCCCAGGAAAAAAACGAAATAATGACAAATTAAAAGATATTCTATCAGTATTATTCAAGGGCTTCCTGAGAGCTTCTGTGAGTGAAGAGTAGGTGAAAGGAAACACAATAAGCCACAGGAAAAAGGCTGTATTAGATTACACAACTTTTACATTATTATTAAAACGGGGTTTTGTACCATTGTGTTCAAGCCACTCAGCAGAAAAAGACATGTTATGAATCTCTTCTGGCTCTGAGTTTGAAAGGAAGATCGCATTTCACCAGTTAAGACCCAGACAGACTAATACACCTCTCTGTCTGTCTTTCCCAGGAACATAATTGAGTCTATTGTGGGGCAGATAAATAAAAAGCCCTTTGCTTTTTTTGCTTTCATATAAAGTCAATTGAGGCTGGGGCTAAAATGTTCAATGATATTTTTGAAATCTAGTAAAATGTTCAGAGTGCTGCTTTATTAATTTATGGCCGGAACAGTTGGTTGATGTTAAAAAGAAACTGTAGAGAATGTAAACCAGCAGGATCTGGCTGTAGCTGGATTATAACATAAGTAGGAAAGCTTAGGGGTTGTTTTCATGTGACCAGTTTAGTTTTTGAGCATAAAAGTACTTTTGCACACTAGATGCCTGTAATATATAGTGTGCTGCTTTGTACAGCATGTGTAACATTTGTTGTGAATTATTATTATGTCAGACATGGGCATTTTGTATAATCATAAAATTGAGTAACCAACAGTTTAAACCTAGATGGGAGTATTTGCAATAACCATGCAATTATAGCCTGTCTGGTTATTGTTGCTCATTCAATCAAGATAAACTGCGGGTATGTTACATTTTATTGCACTGTTTCGTAAGTTAAAGTTAATATACTATTGAATAATTTTATTGTTGGGCGTAAACTAATTTATTGACACATATGATGATAATTGTTTTACCTCTACATTGCATGCAGCTGCACGTAAAATTATAACCATCTAGTACCTGTAATATTGATTTTTTTATAGTGTAATTTTGGTGTAGTTTCTATGTACAAATCAATGGCAGAATCTTTAAAGTTAATTTAATATTATTGTGTTTTCTGAAACGCGTGCTCTTCTCTCGTATGTCATTCATTGTGAATTTTTCCTCAATTCCTTGAATTTACGTCCTTAGTAAGTAATTAACAGAGTAATGCGATTGCTTTCTTGTTAGAACATTTTGTGTTCCTTGACATTCAAAAAAATATTCTGATATTACGCACATTTATAGTTGTTAAGGTTCTCTACATAAGCTACTTCAACTACCTGACCTCCTTCCCCCCAAAACAAGAAAACAACAGCACTCTAGCAACCTCTGGAATTCTTGTTAAACTAAGAAATATAATTTATTGCATAAAAATTATCTTAGTTACAAGTAAGAAGGCTAAACATTTATTTACAATTGGTAGTTTACAGAGTTAAGGAAACATTTTTCTTTCCAATCTTCTCTTTACCTATTAAAAAATGAGGCATTGACTTTTATGGGAGTAGTTAGGTTCTCTTTCACACATTTTCAGCAGGGGGCAGTGGTAGTGAGCACTGACTGGTCCTCATGAAGAGGAAAGGAGGAAGCAGACAGGGGGACCAGAGGATGCGACATAACTACCGCTGTAGATCAAAACATGTCAGCCCCCATCAGACTTGCATGGCGAAAAGTCATTACGCTCGATATGTGTAGCTCGAAAATAGCACAGACAGAAAACCTACAATTAGCGTCTGTGTAGGATTTATAACCTTTAAGACACATCTCATGGTTTCAGAGCTATACCTATGCTTCCTTTATGTTCTTCAAATTCTTAAGAATGAGTTGTGGTTGCTCGTTTTCACATAGCAATTAGTGTGGCTCAGTGCTTAACTCATCTAAATTCCACAGCTCCAACAGCAGTTCAGTGATCAGGACATCCAATAGAAATATGCAGAGAAACCCATTGTAATATTGTGTGTTTTGCTCAGCCACAGCAGATCATTTTTTCAGATTTGTTCACTTTAAATGGTCTCTTAACGATTCATTTTGTGGTTGATGTTGAAGAATAGGATCCGATATACTGCTTGCTTCAGCAAAGTCTATCATTTTCAAGCCACTGCCCACTATTTTTTCTCTGCTGTTAAAATACACGCTTTTGTACACTGTACAGGGAAGCGAAATAAAGAGAAACCAAAAATGTGGCCTTTTTCTCTGTACTTGCATAGTACTTACATAGAGAAATGACACAGCTGAGAGATGTGAAGCTTGCTCACACAGATACAGACAATTCAATCACTCGCTCACCCATGAAGAACGGTCACATTCTCACTGCTTCAGCGGGATGGAAAAGATACTGGGCATCTGTTTTTTTCTGTTTCCAAGATTCACACACACTTTTGCTTAATAACCATACAAAACATTATAATAAAAATAACATTATTAGTAACAGCGACAATAATAACACCTAACAAAAAATGAAAACATGTAATATGAATGACCCCTGACTATAGCAGCTGATTAACCACAAATATAACTGATAATCAACTTGAGTGTGTGAGAGGTAATCAATAACCAGTTTAAAAAAAAAAAACTGACATCTAAAGATTACATCCAGAACTTAGCAGATCGGAACAACACTTGACTTTCAGACTTTAAAACCAATTAAAATCAAAGCCAGATTTTCCCAGGGGCCACTGCAATCACTTCGAATCAAAGCATGATTATCATACTGGCACTGCAGCCAATTAGAATCAAAGCCAGTTTCTGTCCATCTCACCTGTAACAAGGTCAAATTCATGCAGCAAGTCACAACCGATTGAACATTTAAGAGTTATACAGAATTAAATACAAAGTCTTACTTCATATACTCAATGGAGACTGTTGGACTGTTGATCAGAATGAATACTTGGGAGTTTTGCTTGCAGCTGTGATATGGCCTTGAAGCCAAAGTGGTCTCTGTGAAAGTCTGTCTCTCTCCATTTCTGAATTTTGCCCTCTGCCAAATACGCCCACCCGCCTCTGCCCCCCTCTTGTCACTCCTTGCCTTCCCAAAATCCTCCATCTGCCTTCATATGCAAGAAAACTCATTCAAAAACCTAATAATCAACGTGACAAGGACTCTAAATCAATACAAAAGATATCAATTATAATCATAACAGAAAAAATAATATAACCATTACAGTGAAAAATGGAAAAAATCCAAAAAATATGGATTAAAAACAGAAATTGCGTTCCCGATAGGAAACTTAACAGTTTACCAAAATTCTTCTGCGACTTATTTTGCAATAAGATAAGACGACAAAGGGCAGATTATATAGAAGAATTGAGGGATAAAAAATAAGCGATACATCCCATGTATCAGTGTGACAGGCCAGGTGACAGTATACTTCTTCACCTGTTCCATCCCTGGTTCCTGTCACTTTAATGGACATGCATACCCTCATGCCACCTGCTGGCCATGAGGACATACTGTGGCTTATACAAAAAAATGACTGTAATATGACTTGTCATCTGTCAGCTAGCAATGACACAACAGCCCTGGACAACTCAGTGCAAGGCAGCTCAGCTGCAGACTGGTTTTCTCCGCTGTCCACTCATCTGTATCAGCACGTTGGATGCCTGGGGGGGACAAAGGGCCCTCGTTGTCGGCTAACCACCATGCTGAGATTTTGCTGCTGGCTTGAATTGTAGCTTTGAACTGGCTGTCGCTAGGAAACAAAAGCTTGTTGTGTGGGAAGATGGAATCCATCCATGTTTCATATTGATGCATCATACATGTGCATGTTTCTGTGCTTGGCTAGGTACGTGCTTACGTCCTGGCTGCTGTCTAATATAGCTCTAACCCCAGTACTTCTAAGTTCTTATATATTTATTTTTTCTCTGAATATAACATGGACAAACTCACACAGTGGTACCTTCTTAAACTATTACGCCTCAAATCTGTAACCTTGGCTTGTCGCAGAAATTGTCTCCAGTTGCTAGCTGTGGAAAAAAGTTTGTCCTGTGAACATATGCTGACCTCAGGCTCCAGAAGGACGATTTGGATGGGGATGGCCGAGACCATGTGAAATACTTAGAAACCCAAGTTGTTAAATTTGCGATGAGGTAATGCCTCTCTCAGCGGGAGATGCAGGTGTGGACCGGGCACATATCGGGGTGTGTGTGAGAGAAATGGAATAAAACAATCTCTGGCATGCATGGGCACATTGGTGGATGGGCATTGCTGGGTTCCCATCACAGCAGTTTCTGTGCCTGCGAGCCAATCAGCAGTCTCCGTCGGTTGTCATGACAACCAGCACCTCGCTCTTGCCCATCTCTTCCAGTGCAGTCGCCAGGGAGACCAGGTCTGCGTCACCTTGGTGACAGGCTTCCCATAGGTCAAGCAGCACACCTGTGGGGCTGGGCTTTGTTGCAAAATAGTTCAAATACCTGAGGAAAAAAATATATTATTTTATAGTCCTAACCCAGGAATTTCAGTTGTGCATTTTATGAAAATTAATACAAACTTTGTTTACTATAAAGCTCTTTCATCTGAAGACTCTAATTAGTCACCTGTCCCTGAAACCTGATAATTAGGTAAACGTCATTAACATTAATTAGCTCAAGACCTGCAGTGCTCAAATTAAAGCATAAATTGTAAACTATAAATCAACAAAAAGTATCATTATCTGCAATATAACATTATCTTGAATAACTAATAATGGAAAAATAAATAAGTATGAGGACATCTAGTTTTCTGTCCTGCCCTGTATGTGGTACTCATTCTTAGAAGCTTTTTTTTTTGGTGGGATGATGACAAATTCTCAGTTTTGAGGTTCTGGTGGATCAGCTGGTCGACCTGTACTCATTGTTTTACGATACACATGTGAAGACTTTCCATTGATTCATTCATGCATTAGATGGTTATTAATTTGATTCATGGGATGTGTAAATAGAGTCTATTTCTTTTTTAATGAGGACATTTTCACTAATGGTGAAGGTAAAACCTGTAAACTCACACACACATACCGCACCCAGCTGGCTCAGGAACTTGCACCCACCTGTCGAACCCCAAGCTGTGTGCTAACAGTCTCCAGTCACAGCCGCGGGAACTCGGGGCATCCAGACTGGCGCAGATCTTCTGGCGGATGGATGCTGGTAGCCGGAAGGCATATGGCCCCACCTGGGATGAAGGGCCACAGGTGCCTCCCGATGGGAGTGGGGAATGGGGTGGCAGGGTCTGTGAAGGGGAATAGGTCACACACACAGGCGTCAGGGCGTTTTGCTCCTGGGCAGGCTTAAATCACCGTGAAAGTCAATTCACCCCACAGACTCGATTCTTAGGGTGGGGGCGATTGCCCTCAACCTTTATAAAAACAGATTAAAGTTTCATATTCTACAGCTAATGTAATATGTTAGCACGGTGCCTTGATCAAGAAACATCTTTTGTTTTTGTCCCACTGCTCGCACATTCAGCTCTTAGTTTCTCTTGTACCTCCCCTGAAATTGTTTTTATTCCTCTGATAAACACTGATGTATGAATTCTTATCAGTTAAAGTCTCTACCCTCAGGGATCCATTCAATCTATATCTCTGTGTGTGACAGTAATGTGTTTTCGCCCTGCTTCTGCTTGTGCAGTAGCAATGTCTTTGTCCGGAACACTAGGTGCAGCAGTAATGTCCCTTCCAGCCTGTACTCCTGTGTGCTGTAACCCCCCCCCCAATGGGATCCATTACCTCCTGGATGTCGGTGTTCAGCTGAAAGATCTGCCCCTCCCCCTCCACCTGGCGGACGCAAATCTTGCAGGTGAGCTGAGACACAGCCAGGCTGCCCCGTTCCAGGCTGAAGGTACAGTGTAGTGGCCTCTGGCTGCCGCTCCAGATGTGGTAGAATGGGATCTCCTGTCAGAGTGCATTGCGCCGCTCAAAGTCAGTCACTGCGGGTACACTTACAGACGGCATTTTACAATATGGCATTAAATTGCTTCTTCACATTGGTGACTATGATACTTCAATGAAAAGATACCTTTACAAAAGGCAGAACTGCATCACATTAATGAGAAGCAACCTTTATTTGTTATGGGTACAAGTCCCTTAGTGATAAACAAGTATTACAGACTGCCATGTAGCAGAGAAGTAAAGGTGGGGACTGTAAACAAAGCAGGCCAGCTCAGGCAGGGTATGCAGGGATAACATGAAATCACCCATAATTACCTCATTAAAGATACCCAGCAATAAAAGAGTAGAACGCTGTAAGCTCAGATAAGAGTGCCAGCTGAGCAGCACAGATGCAGCAGACTGATTTACTGGTCTGACCTGGTACTTGGCGAGCAGCTTGCTCCTCCAGTGAGAGTGCGGGATGTCATGGATGGACAGGCGCAGGTTGTGGTAGCTGTCCTTGAAGAGGAGGGGCTTAGGGTCTTCCAGCAGAACTCCTCCTAGACTGCGTTCCAGGTCCAAAACCTCCTGCAGAGAGTGAGCGGGAACAAAAAAAGGAAACTGTGCTTAGAATAGTGCAACAGGGCGATGTGGCCTGTTACCCAGGGAGAAAGAATATACATGCAACAAATTAGTCACTAGCATGTGTGATTTTTAAATCTTTCTTAGGACCAAGGATTTGGGCACTGGAAGGGAGGACAGACCTTGAGGGCATGAGGCGTGTCCTGAATGCAGTATATACGCAAACTGTAGTCCAGGGAGAGGCATGGGGATTGGGGGGCGAAAAGAGCCAGCTGCAGGCGTTTGCAGGCAGGCTGCGGTGCGGTGGACTGGCCCACAAGGCTGTAGGTACCCAGCTGCTCCATCAGCACATGGCAGCTCCGCTCCTCCACCTGGAGGTAGCAGGGCGACGATAGGCTCTCCTCGCCAACTGTCAGCACCTCCTACAGGCAGAAAGATGTATAACAGAATAACCAGGTGAAGATCTAATGGAGTTTTAAAATGATGGATTTCCGGGAGTGATTCTCAGCGCATTAAGTTTCCACTACGCTTCCATCTTTCCCACCATTTTTTTCTCCACTTGGCTCTCACACTTTCTGCTTCCCCCTCTTCACTCCACTTTTCTTCACACTCACCCCCACATGCACTTTCTTCCCACCCCACAACCCCCATCCCTTTCTCACCTCCCACTCGCCCTGGTGAGTCTGCGTCTTCAGAGTGAGTGTCCAGTCGGGTGGGTCCAGCTGGGCACAGTGGGGCAGAGTCAGCACCACGGGCCGGCTCAGCAACATTCCCGTGGGCCCACAGCTCACCACGGGGCTGAGGACCGTCTGGCTGCCCTCTGATGGCAACCTGCCGGCGGCAGACTCTGGGTTAAACTCAAAGGCCACTAGCTAAGGCTCGACCCCCTTTAGAACTTTGCCCCATGCTCCTGAGCTGTCCCCTTTTCCCAAAGTGGAGCTGAAACCTACAGCCTTCTGGATACAAGTTCATGTTCCCCAGCCACTGAGGCACTTTTCAAAGGAACCGCCAATAAACATCCTATAACCCAGGGTAAGCGACTTATTCTTGAAGTGTTGAATTCAAAATAACTTGACAGAGCAATTAAGGGCCGAGCTTCTGCAAAAAAAACAACGCTGGGTTACTATTGAGACCCAGAATTCTTCACCTCTGTCCTACGGGTAAATGTTCAAAATAAAAGTGGATGAAAAACTAATGAGCCCAGCAAATATCCTCCAGACAGAATTTAATCTCAGTAATAAGGGACTTAGAATTTACTTTTATTATTATCATTTGCATTTTAGTGGAGATAATGAGAAATGAGTGAGGTTCACACCCTTTACTGCAACATTTATCGCTAGCTGAGCTTTGCAGACCTAAAGCTGGAGAGAGAACAGCGGCTTGGGGAGACCCTGTTCTGATATCCCATTTTGTGGTGGAGGACGGCCAATGACGTATCTATGGCCTGCTCCCCAGACTGTGGAATCAAATAAAGCTAGAGAAACAAACCCATAGCTAACTCTAAAGTATCCCATAGGAGCACATAGTGCCTGCATTTAATTAGTTTCTCAGTTCCTCTGTGTTTACATATACCCAAAGCCCTCCACCCACTCCTCTCCCAGCCATATGTAGCTCAGCAACCTTTTTTCTAGGTTGTGAATGTCAGTATTTGATTGATGCCCTGTGACATGTTTTAGTCCCCTGGCTTATCATGTCCTTGACTCGGAGTGGACAGGACCAGATGGGGGCAGTCTGCGGCACCGGTCCCTGAGACTCACGTGGTCTTTTCCCACTTGTTGATGATGAGGTACATCTCATAGAACTTGCCCTGGGGAATCACTCCCTGTGGGACCAGCAAGCTCACACCTGGAGAGTGTCAGGGAGACAGAGGAAGGGTGAGGAGATGGTGTGTGTGTGTCTATGACATCGGGGCCTGCTGATATAGATTCTCCATTTATGTGTTCCATTAGCACAATGGCAAAAGCTACTGGTTTCTGTGGCATTAAGGACATTCATGTTTATGTGTTACCTGTGTTGGGGATGGTTAGGCGTCCTCCGAGGCACCCCAAGGTGGCACTGGTGCTGTTGCTGGGCTCACGGGGGAGGGTGTGGCTATGAGGCTCACGGGAGTCAGGCCGGGACCCGGAGCCCACCATCTTCAGGCTGAGGATCTCACCATCGACCGATGCTCCCTCGGCTGGGAGTTCCAGTGAAGAGAGCGTGGATGAGTTGTACACTTTGATCTTTAGGCTGGGCAGGGGGTCTAACAGCGGTGAGGTGGTCATGGGGATTTTGTGGTGGCTGTGATCTACCACCCCCTGTTGCAGGGAAAACAGGGGCCCTCGGAGGGAACTGGCTGTCGCCGTTAGGTCCGGGGGGGCCGAGGGGTGAAGCAGGTGAGGATTGTCTGGAGGTGGTTTTATTCGTGGAGGGGAGCAGGTGGGTCAGGAGACAAACAAGAGAGGCCAGAGATAGATTAGAATTGATTTTTTAACGCTTCAGTGCCACTGACAGTCAAGACATTTAGTGAACCGACAGAGGGGCAGAGGGTCGGAGTGAGAGCAGGTGGGAAGTTACGGACAGGGTTAGGGATGAAGGGAAAAAAGAGAAAAGGACGTGTGCGTCAGAGAGTGCATGTCTGTGCACGGGAGTCTCTGTCTGGGGGAGTGTGCGTGTGTGGTGTGCATGCATCACAATCAGATACTTCAGTGGCAGCTGTGAAAGCCATTTCATATCCATTATGAAGCTAAATGCCAAACTGAACTATAATCTAAACTCTTGGTGGCTCAGCCCCCTCCAAGGCTATCAGTGACAAATATGTCTGCTTCTCACCTGTGGGACTATCAGCCTCGACATTGTTAGAGCATCTAAGCAAGTCCGGATTTTTTGTAAAGTATTCATCTGAAGCCTCCTTAGGGCACATCACATGCTCTTTAGGCATGTTCTGTCCTTGTGGGGCCGGCAGCTCCTAATGTCTAGGCCTTATCAGTTTAGATTTTTAAAGTGTTCTTTTAAAAAAAGCTGCAGTACGCTGTGCCGCTTCATGTATGTGGATCAGGTGCTTTTAGACATAATATCCAGCTCGTGGGAGCATCTGTGTGCCTCTCGGTGAGTCGTGTCATTTCGTTGGAGCTGCTTCGTCATCAGCTGTACCCTAACTGTATGTGTCGTGCTTTCTCGAGGCTGCTTGGCGCTAATGGGTAGAAGCTTCCAGTCCAGCTGGCTGGACAGAACCATTTCTGGGTATCCTTCCTGGTGCTCCATAGTGATATGTGACGACTTTTGAGTGGTGAGAAGTGGAGAAGAGAGGATTAAAAAATGGGAAAACAGTAGAGGGAAACGAAAAATGATGGTATGAAGGGGTACATGGGATTGTGACCCACCCTGTCTTGGGGGTTTATAGTTGACTGGATGGAAGGCTGCTGTGAGGGCGGAGGATGAGTCTGTGATGTCACCACGGAGATGCCGGCAGCTGCGGCGGTATGCCAGCACACCCACACACAGCAGCAACATCCCGCAAAGGAGTAGAGCCCCCACCAGTCCGGCATAAACGGCCACACCCATCCCGGGTTCGAGCGCTGGGGGGAAGAGGCCAGAAGAGTGAAGCTGCAGATCTCAAAAGGCACGGAAATACCAGCAAAAATGCATGCAGTCATTAAACACAGCCAGTCGTTTCTTGAAGCCACTCTCAACTATGCTGGAGTGAAGCTACACACTGACACACAGCAGAAAAGCCATTTTAATCTGATAAATACATTCATAAATATGTCCAGAGAGATAATAAAGTTAATCTTAATGTGGTACATAGAGACAGATACAGCAGTACTGCCTCCTAGCCTGCAGGGGGAGCTGTTCACCAGTGTCAGTGTTCCCCTCAAAGTACCAGGCTGGGTTGTAAACTTGCCTACTGCTCATGTGCCTCCCGCACTACAGTTTAATAGCGTTTGCATACTATAGCGGCCTGGAACAGCAGAGCAGAGATGCAAGTGCATGGGCACAATGAAGATGGGGAACAAGAATGAAGGACACAGGAAGCTGACAGGAAAAGGAGGAGAGGAAAGGGAAGGGGTAAAACTGCGTTGGGGGAGATTCAACTGAGGTGGTCAGCTGCCTGCACACAGTACGAGCAGCCATCTCATTAATTTCCCAGCATGCAACAGCAAGTCCCCCTGCTTATGTCTCTAACCTCAGGTAATTTTTATCTGAATTTTTTCATAACCAGTCCAGTCTATTTAACAGTTTTGCTATACATCCATCTATGAATCTCAGATTAATAATTAACGGCACGTCTCTCTATTTTTAGTTGTAAGTTATGAACGCTAGGGAAAAGGTTTGGAAAGTTTTTTAGCGAAGCAGTCAGTGGAGTCGAGGGCAGAAGTAAAGGCTATGAAACGCATGATGAGGTATGACAGGCATCGTGAAAACACACCCAGGACACTGCATCCAGTTCCTACAAAACATAAAGTGAGGATGCTGCACACAGCACAAGACTGCCAGGACCCATTATGTGCCAAACATGACAGAAAAAGGGGGTGACGCGTGTCTTACATAGTGGCCTAGATTTGGGACATTGCAGATACATACGCTATCACACACACACACACACACGCATCTGGCTGGACAATGAGCATGAGGAATGTGAAGATTTTATGGAAAAAGTGAACTTACGATGGCTGGCATGTTCAATAGAAACCTTTTTATCTGTTAGAATTGGAAAACAAAACAAAAAAGAAAGAAAAGAGGTAACGGATGGATTAATAAATGAAATTGATAAAATGAGGAAACATGGGAGTAAAATGAATAAGAAAAACAAAAGCACTTTATCCAATTAATAAAACCAACACACACAGTTTTAAATAAAGGAAAATTAAAGGGAATATCTTATTTAAGTCCCTGTCTAGAAGCCCATCTGACAGCTGTATGTGTCTCTTAAAATAGTGGGCTGTCTTGTGAATGCACACGCAAGTGAGTGACTGTGTGGCTTTTACAGGTCAGTGGACCGATGACTCATCCTCACCAGCTTCTTAATTTTCCCTCCTTTGAAATTCTCCACATACACCTGCCATAACATATCTGCTTTTGACGTGATTCTGAATGAAGCGCACCTCTGCTTCACCCCCCACACTCTGCCATTCTCCAGGCCCCACCCAGGATGGCAGGATCGTTCACTCTGCCTTGATGCGCCACCAACCCTGTCACAAACCCATGGGCATGGAAACATTTTTCAAAAGCACTGGGGGGCTTGAATTAAACTACCATGGACGTTATCTGGTTGCAACTACGACTGCTTTGTGTGGCCAAGAACGTCTTTTCCCCCAGATCAAATGGATTAATAAGAGCCACTTTGAACAATCCAGGCCGCTGTCTTATAGAATGTCCACTAAATCCCCCCAGAAACCATATTTACCGGCCTAAGACTTGGCTCCCCTGGTTACGTAGACATGTCAGACATCTGGGTCAGAAAGCTGCCCTGTCATTTGAAATTGTGTAGAAATAGTGAATTGCCTTTACTCTCAGTGCAGTCTCCGTAACTATAGCAATGCATACTGTAGGACATAATTGTCAGGCTGTGTGACTGCTGGCACGTGCCCGCTCACTCCACCGTGTTCTCTTCTGTTTATGCCATTGTGTTGTTCTCCACATGTTTTGTCATGTGATTTCCTGTAGGCATGTTACTCCTCTATGAAAGTTCTGAGGAGGAGAGACTCCTTTCTACCCACCCTAGTGTGACCATTGCAACTTCCCTGTCACACACACAACCCCCCCCCCTCCCGCTCCCGCTCCTGACACCCCTCAGACTCACTCCGTGCACAGAGCCCCTCGGTGCAATTCTTGCTCTCCATCACACTGCCAATGCAGTGGCGCCCGCCGTTGCGAGGGGCAGGGGCTTGGCACTCTCTGCTGCGCCAGTGTGTGCATTCGGTCCCGCACACTGACCACTTGGCCCACTCCGTCCAACCACCATCCACTATGAGGGGTCAGAGGTCAAAGTCAGACCCAGCAGTAAAAAATATGCATATATTTTTTAGTGATGCACCAATAAGGAAATTTCTGGTTGATACCAGGAACACTCCACCCAAATAAATTTTAAAAGTATTTACTTTTTTGTAAGAAAACATCAACAGTCTCAGAGCACTATATATTTATAACTGTATACATTTTATATATTTATAACAGAGAAGGGCTGATCATCAAGTGTGATAAACTCCGTAATTTTCCGAGTAATGTCTTGATTTTGCACTGCCTGCACTGAATTTTCTTTTGCTATCAAATGCTTGTGTTACTGACAGACTAATATTATTTGGCAGTACTGTAGCCTTCTTAATTGGAACGGATTTGTTTTTCATGAACTCTTCATGACCTTTCATGACTCCTCACTGTCTCACCTTAAGGCAGGGCTCTTCAAATCTGGACGTCAATTCCAAATCCAGGCCTAGTTTTCAGTCCTCCCATGTACTGAGTTTAATAATCACTGATTCTGATTGGCCAGAGGCTTCACACCTGGCTCACAGGTAAAGGAAGGCTGGGAAATAAGCAGGTCTTGGACCTTGAGGACCGTGATTTAAATAGTTCTGCCTGAAGGTGAAGCAATCAAATTTGTTGTTTTGAAATGTTTATTAGTAGGTCCTCCTCATGAAATTTTAGCAGTGCAATGTTTGTAAAATGCATTTACAATGTGATTTTTGTTAACATTACAGTAATTCCACCCAGCAGACATTTTTGTCAGTTTAGTACATGGGTGTGCAAAGTAATATGGGTCACCATTTTAAAGGGGATTACTGGCAGTAAATATCGGCTCATTTTTAACCATCGGTTGATGGCCGATTGTTACTGTATCAGCCGATACCGATAGTGTATATACAATTGGTGTATATTTTTTAAAGATCTGAAATCCTGGGAAATTATGAAAGATTATTTAGTAAAAAGACATAGGTGTGAGAAATCCATTCATCTTCCAACAGTTTACTCTACTGAGGCTTGCCGGTGGGTGGGGGGCAGCGCCCATCCAAGGCACCACAGGGCAAATGGCTGGGGTAACTCCCTAGATGGGATGCCAGTCCATTGCAGGGCAGATAACCACACAATCACACACTATAGGCTATTTAGAAAAGCTAATTAGCAAAAATGTGTATCTTTTGACTGCAGCAGGAAACAACATGAGGATATCCCTCAAACTCCATAAACACAGGGCAGAGGCAGGATTTGTTCTGCCCCCCCCCCCCCGTGTTTTTGTTACGCTGTAGCTAGCTTTCTTCTGTTCCTCACTGCCATCTCTGCTACCGTAACCAAAAGTCCCAGTTCAATTCTCCAGTCGGAGTGTCACATTGTCCAGTTCACCGTGCAGCTGGGCCGAAGTCACACATAGACATATGTCTTTCATGATGTACATACAGGTGTGCTGTACATGTGGCAGAGGTGGGGACTGGATTTGTTCTAAGTTACTTCTTTCAGAAGTCCTCACCTGGACATAGTGTGGTGCAGGTGACCCTTTGGAAGGGTGGGCCCTCGCAGACGGCTCCACCATTGAGTGGCGCTGGATTGGTACAGCTGCGTGTCCTTCGCTGCCAGCCCCTCCCACAGCGTACGTTGCATTCCGACCACTCTGTCCAGGATGACCATCCTCCGCTCACTGAGGAGGAAAGGCAGGCAGATGGGCCAAATGCACACGGAGACACAATTCTGTATCTGCTTTTTTAGACATTTTTCCACTAAAGGACCAATCAGATGGGGATGCCGGGAGTATCGCCGTGGTTACCATAGACTATGATGGTGGCGGTGCTGCTACGCCGCTTGGCCACCACATTGTGGGCCACGCAGGTGTAGTTGGCTGTGTCGGAGAGGCGGGCCTGCTTGATGATCAGGTCATGGTCAACGGTTATCAAGAAGTTGGAGTCCAGTGTTGGGTCGATTGTGTCTTCGTTCTTCAGCCAGTCCACCTACAAGTGAAAACAAGTCCAGATTGCAAGTAGGCTACGTGTCATGGAATGAATCAGTAGGACATCTGTCTGGCCTTGTGTGTTTACATACAGAAGAACATACATTTCTATCCCTATTAGAGCCCTTCAGGTCCCATGTCCTGCCCTTAACCACTATGCCACCTGCTGTCTGTATTGCTTTTTCTTTCAAAGCTTAAGAAGGTAGGACGTCAGGTGTAATGATGGAGAGATGACTGGTGGGGGCTGATGAAGGTGCTGAGAAATGAAGCGGTGAAGCAATAGCTATACCTCAGGAGGAGGGATGCCCTCTGGGGGGCGACACTGCAGCAACACCTCTTGTTCCAGGCGCACCTCCCTGCCCAGTGGCTCCTGCTCAAAGTTCTTGCGCAAGACTGCAGGGGAAGGGAGATAGTGAGTTTGGAGGTAAGGTGGACGGCCCCCATATGTGTCAAAGACACACTGGTCTGGGCTCTACCATGTTATTATGGGCAAACACACACAGAAGGTACAGGATCCTATGCAGGGCTTAGGGACTTCCCACTGATTCCCTTGTTAAAATGATAAATGAAAGAGCCACATGACATCAAAAGACCAGAGAGAATTTTGGTTCTTTCACTGCCTCACTAGTTCAGTTTTTCAGTAGGGGATATCCTGGAGGAGACACGTGAAGAACCCTGTGCACCTACATGAGTGCACACAAGGAAGCACGTGTTGCTGAACTCACAAGCGATGCGCACGTACGCCCGGCGGCTCTTGGTGGTGCCGGCTGAGCTCCAGGCCACGCACTGGCACCAGAAATCTTCTAGGCCGAACAGCTCCTCCACTTGAGTCCTGGAAACGGAGATATCCACTTCCCGTACCACTAGGCCTGCAGGGGAAGGTGAGCTGTGCTGAGGTGAGGGCTGGTTGCTGACTCATTACCAACCTTTCAGTATCAATCTTTTTTTAATGTTTTAATAATCCAAATTATTCTTGGAATTGGTGTCATGTTTCAAAACGCCTCTGTCTCCATGACCCTGACTGCTTAAATGGGTACTTAAAACTTGAAAGTGGCTACATTAAAACCTTTTAGATTTAAGTTTGTGACACCAGCAAGAAGATCATACAGCTTTTATATGCTTTTACTAGTTTTTTTCTGATACATGCAACCAAAATGTCCTCTTGCCATCCCAATGAAGGAGCTGGGGAAATGAAAGCAGCCTAATAAGTTAGTTACAAATATAAATTTAGTGCCTAATCAAAAGGTTTATCCTGGTCGCGTTACCAACCTCATTATTTAAAGACAATAGTGAAACCCCACATCAAGAACTGGAAAAGACTAAGTTTGCGTGGGGAGACTTAAACATCCTGCAAGTGCAGATGAGCACAATAAGTCTTAGACTGTATGGTAATAGCTTCCCGATCAGGGTCCTTAATTTATTTGCATGTTCATTCCATTTCCTTCCTAAATAAGAGGAACGTCTTCTCTGGTTTTAGTCATTTATGTAAGCAGCATTGTCTGATCAAAATAAACTAATTAATTTTTTTTAAATTTTTGCAATGATAACATTACTGCTTATTTTGGGGGGCGTGACTTCCGTCTGCAGCATACGGAAACTGGCAGTAAAGCTACATAACAGTGAACCGAGTGAGAAGGAGAGAAAGTGAGAAAGAGAGAGAGAGGTGGGGAGAGTCAGGCAGTGTGGAGGACAGGCAGCCTGGCCGTGTGTGGCACTGCTAGACTGTGCCCTGCTGCATGCTTCTATTTTAGCTGCTAAGCTGTCTTGACAGCCCATGCGCTGTGTGTCTGCGCACCCATACCTGTGATCTGGTCCAGGCTCTCGCGGGTCACATGGTCGTTCTGGTTCACCCACTCGCCATTGCATTTGAAGTAGATCTGTGTAGCAGGCGAGGCTCGGCAGCGGAGCTGTACTGGGCGGTTCTTCACAATGAAGCCGTCCTCGGGCTCCAGCTGGAACTCCGGCAGAGGCTCCGCGGCAGCTGAAGGGAAGGAGTCCGGTAGGACCTCGCTGTAGTCACCTGCTGAGGACAGATGGAGGGTTGGAGAGAGGGAGGGAGGGAGAGAGAGAGCAGTTCCGGTCAATGACCTGGTATGGTCTCTATTGGGAATTTAACTCATGCCCACTGGACATCTGTCCAGTGCCCTCACCACAGCTCTGCAGTAGGCACTGTAGCAGGAAGTGGGAGCACAATGCAGTAGTTTGTGTGAGAAGGAGCGCGGCAGTGTGAGTGTGTGTGATAAGGAGGTATGTGAATGAGAAGCTACAGATTGCCATGTCTGAGGGTGCTTGGTAAAAATTAAGTTTGGCGGTTCATATTCATGTATTAACATAACCAATTCTTTCTGCCCTTACAGCTTGAAGCCATGAGGGCCTCGACATAAGCAGAGCCCTGGTTCTGCTCTCCTCACAAGTTTAGTGGTAATGTTACAGAGATAGGCGATTGGCCATTGCGTCCCTCTATGATGCGACGTGAGTGGAAAGCCTCCCCCCCCCCGTTTTCCACTACTATCCATGGCATGGTGCTAGCTAGCGCGTCACCACCAGACGTGATGATTGCGGCCAACGATTGCTCTGCCAGAACAACGTTTTTAATTTACTGCCTCTCTTCAGGCGAATAATCAAATCAGGCCTCCCTGACCTTCACTTCCTCTCTCCCCGAGAGAGACGGACAAGTTCCTGGAGCATGTTGGCGAATGGTTGTCTGACACCCATAACTCCAGGCAAACTCTGAAAATCAATTTCAGTCAAACTAACGACGGTAGGGCACAGCAAAAACTCTATTACATTGGGCCCTGAAAAGACATTTAAAATATCATACACGAAGTCGCACTCAACCCATGGCTCTCTGAACATTGGCTAAACCACCAGGTACGCTCCATGGTTTGATGAGCCGTAACGCAAAATGGGTTCTGAAAATGGCAGCTCAGAATCTGAGAGAAAAGGGAAGGAGGATATTTGAGTACACCGCAAATGTGGACTTGCTCAGACTGGGCTGAAAAGGCAATCCTAGGACAGCGAGTTCAACCCTGAAAGGGACAGGGCTTCATAGGGAATCTGGTATCCAGGGTGGAACTACTGAACCCTGCTTCAGGAACTGCAGTCAGAGTCTTCTCACTCTTACTGCTTTTGTCTGGAGAGTGAGGTCAGACATGGAGGAAGGAATGTTGGGAATGAAGAGGTCCCAGACACTCTGCCACTTGCGTGAGTACTTCTATCTCTTGTTCATTGTCATCGACTTTCTCTGTGCCATCCTTCCTTCTTAACCCCAATCCCTTCTGTCTTCTTCTGCCCATCCCATCTCTTTATACATCCCTAACAGCATATTCTCTTTTTTCTCCATCCCAGCCTTTGTTCCCTAAACACCCCCCCTCGGCCAGGTTCCCATATCCTGGCTCTCTACAGCCTTGTCTGCACTGTCAATAAGTAATTGTGTTCCTCTGTCCCTCTTTGGGTTGCATTGATTGCTGGGCACAAACGAAAAGTGAAAAGACAGCCGTCGTTTGGAAGTTTGAACGTAGACGCAATCATCTAAATCCCATGCCTGCACTGACCCTCCGATATCATTTGGGCAGCATTAATATCGAGCTGACCTGGACTTTCAGAACAGATGCAGTCTAATTAACAAAAGCAGACATGGGGCAAGCATGGAAAAGCAGTCTTTTAGAGAGTGAGGGAGAGGCGGGAAATGAGACGATTGTAGGGTTTTACTGGAACCTGTGTTTTCCCGGTACACAAACAGCCGGCAATTTCTGTGGAATGCCCGATGCTTTAAAGAGGAGTGCTCTTAAGAGGCCTTTACTGTGAGTCTTTTATTACGGTAATGACAGCTAGCAGCTTGTCGTGGAGCCCCAGGACTCTTTGGGGTATTCTTTTCTCAGAAAAATAAACACAGCCGCATACAAACACAGACAATGGTTGAACTCTAAAGGCACACTCTCCAATGAACACACAAACACTCCATATCAAGGTTTCCCGATTCCGGTCCTGGAGGGCCAGAATCCACCACAGTTTGCAGATTTCCCAATTCAAACACACCTACTAAACCTGGTAATTAGCTAATTAAGTGTTTGAACTGGAAAATCTGCAAACTGTGTTGGATTCTGGCCCTCCAGGACCAGAATTGGGGAACTTTGTTCTATATGCAGTAGAAATGGGGTTCCCAAACTTTTGATGACCACGGACAGGTTTAGATTGTACAAAAAAATTCATGGTAAAATTCTGATAAAAACAGGATGTGGCTGAAAATCATATAAGTCTAGTTTATTTTTGAAAATTAAGCAACCGTCCAGTGTCAGCTCATGGACCGGGTTTTAGAAGCTGTTACACCATACTGCATACGCATTACAGACATCTGTGCACTTGAATGACTGGAACACCATACACGCATGCTCATAATAGGTGAACTTCAGATGTTACAGGTGTCCTCTGTGACAAACTTGTCAATGTTCTACATGCAGTAGACTACACACATTACACACCTGTACATAAATTCAAACGCTATAAACACACCACAGTTGTATACCATTACTGTATTGCTCCAACACAAAGACATTCGCTAAAATTCACATTCAGATAAATTTCTTGTATTCTAGCGATATATGTGCTTATAAATATTTATATTCACATTTGCATTTACAGTAATTTAATTAAGCTGAAGCAACTTGCATAACATCACCTACTGATGTTATAGGTTTACCGGTTTAACGGTTCAGGTAAAATCTCTTGCTTTCGGGCATGGCAGCAAGCACACATACACGATAAGTCCAATGAGTGCGTTGCCACCTCGGGCAGAGCAGCAAGGAGAGCGATGGGGTGCTGTGGGATTTGGTCTTGGGGGTGACTTAGGGAAGGACAATTGTACCAACACACACCCACAAACCGGCGGTCCTCATAAGCCCATATTTAACAGCTCTGCAGCACGGCTCCAGTCAGAGTCCCTCTCCAGTGCACTTTGTCATTACTTCAGCGCACCCCGTCATCACCGCTCTCCTTAAAGAACACACCGCCCGTGTTGCCAAACGTCAGGTCTCATCACTGTATTCCCTCTCTGAATCATAAGCCTCCAGGGACCCTCCTGCTTCTCCACCTCCTCCTCCTCCTCCTCCTTCTCCTCATCCCCTTCATTTTGCTTTTGTTTCATCTCGAGGTCGAGCTTCCTTCCATTTTTCTGCTTTCGAGCTTTCCCTCCTGCTGCCATCCACTGAACACGGAGTATAAACAGTGGCCGCAGTCACATTTTATTACGCGCTCGCACTGTGAGCCAGAGCTACAGTCTGGAGCTGGATGCTGTACTGTCCAAATGCTTTATATATATATATATATATACATACACACACACACACACACACACACATGCACACACACTATTGTGATTATGTGTCCATCCATATCTTCCCTAACTGCTTATCCAGTACAGCACAGTGAGCCTGATGCCTACCCGAGGAGGCACAGGGCATGAGCCAGGGACATCCTTGGTTGGGGTGGCAGTCCATTGCAGGGCACACAATGGGCAATATAGAGACGCCAGATCCCTTAATTACATACAGATGCTCCGCAACTTACAATGGGGTTGCTTTCTGATGAACATGCCGTAAGTTCATATGACACACTTGGGCATTTAGCGGACAAGGGCAAAATTTGGTTAAAAGCAGAAAAAAATGCTGTATGATACATCCTTAAACACTGTATGAGATGTTCACACTTGCAATCATAACAGAGACTGGAAGTGTGACTGGGTGGATACTGCCTGCCATCGCTTGGCATCAGTAGAAAGTATCCTACGGCATATTGCTAGCCCAGGAACAGATTAAAATTCAAAGTCTGATAACTACTGAATGTGCATCACTATTTCACCATCATTCTGTAGAAATATTGTAATTCGAACCATTCTAAAGCGGGGAGCATCTTTTTTTTGGGCTGCAGGAGACCACACGACGTACCAAAGGTCGAAGGTCCACACACAGAGCGGGGTCAGGAATCAGAGCCCCATCCAGGTAGTGTGAAGCTACAGTGCCACACTTTGAGCTACTGTGCACCCCTTAGGACCTTGTGATATGTACCGTGATACCTTGAAACTCGAACTTAATCCGTTCAGAACTCCAGATCGAATCCTAAAAAGTTTGAGTTCTGATCGAATTTTCCCCATAAGAAATAATGGAAAACAAATTAATTGGTTCCCGGCCCCAAAAAATTACACCAAAATATGTTTTTTTTTAGCATTTAAACACAAAATTAACTGGATAAAACAAGAAGAGCATATACTGTACTAAACACATCTAAGCACATTTATCAAAACAGTAATTTGTAAAGTAAGAAAATAAATGTATCCAAACAATGTGTAAAGTTAAAAAAAACAATGTGTCCTGCCCCGATCGTCCGCTCCTTCCGTGTGTCATGCGTCCTCGTTAACCCCGTGTGGAATCCCCGTGTGATCAGCTGTTTCTGGTTGTTCTTATTAGCTCTCTCTATTTCGTCTGCGTTTCAGTTTGTTTCCCCAGTCCGGTCATTATATTGTCTGTCTGCATTTTGCCTGCCTTACCTGTAATTCAACCCCGTATTCCCCGATACCCTGACATCTGTGCCTTTGTCTCCGTTCCGTCCGCACTTGGTACAACAATATTATTATAATTAAATGTATTAAAGGTTTATTGTTAATATTAAAATAATGAATAAGAAATCTTTATTTTTAAATGTATTTTATTATATAATAATAATCACTGTTATTGTCTATCATTGTCTAAATGTATTTTTACTGTCTAAATATATGTATTCAGCTAGTGTAAACATGCACGATGCTATCACAGCGAATGCGAGGCTGAGACTGAAGCGTTACCCTTTGTTTCCGCTGAGAGACGTGCAGCGTGACTCATTTCCCCGCGCGTACAAGTTATCTTAGGTGGGCGTTCACGGTTTGACTTCTGAGATTCAGATCGAGTGCTAAGTATTTTTTTTTTCAAACTTGTTGGTTCGACTTTTAAGGAATTCGAGTTCTAATGAGTTCAAGAACTGAGGTACCACTGTATATGCATGTGATATCAGAATTTTGGCATATGTAGCTTCTACTGTTCACTGAAACACATCACCTCCAATGGAGGGACATGAAACAGAGACGAGCCAGGAGCGAGGCTAACGGAAAGTGGCCCGTGAGTGATGGTTATTTAAGGTGACCTCATCGTTATCAAGAAGGCCGTATGAGTCGCCAGGTAGCATCAGGATGGGAAGGCGCAAAACTGTGAGACGGGAATAGATCAGCACCCGAGTCAGATCTGCGGATGGAAGATGGAGAGAACAAGTACAATAACAAAGACTAAGAGAGGGATTACAAGTGGAATTCACAGGCTGAGTGCTTGGATCTGACTTGGATACAGAAGAGGAATTATTCCTTTGAGTGGGTGATTTTCAAATTACTGTAGTTACTTTTGGAAAAAGTAAAATATCATAAGCTGCTAATAACAAACTCTTCTAAACAATTACAGACAGAGTCCAAAGGTGGATGGATGTAAAGACACATGAGACATTACTGCAACAACTTCCTTCAATCAGAAACTGTTTCCTTCAGCAAGTCATTGGCTCGACCAATTGGGCAACAGGATGTCATTCATCCGCCTGGCTTCCCTGACAAAGCTCGACACGCATTCTCCAAGAGTCAAGGGCAACCATGATGGAGATTTCGCTTCTCTCTCAAGCAAGGCCTGTATATCAATGGAATTGGTGGAATACAGACGCATACACACAAAAAGGACTGAGAACAGCCAAACACACACATGCACGATGCAGGAATATGAGAAATTCTCTTTCTGACCAACTACTAGAAACTTTTGTAAAGAGACAGATTTCTATGAAGGGGGGTGTTTTGTCCTCAGATGCTCTTCACAGCAGGAAAGACCCTGCAGCAAAGAATGGATTTGTCCAAAAAATAAAGCAAAATTCAAAAGAAGAAGCAAACCTTCATGCTAGGAGTGTCATTGCAGGTATTGGAAAAGAGGCCCATCATCATGGAGATGAATAAAGGGTTTAACTGACACAGGAAGCCTGAGATAAGGGCTGTTTTTCTGGGTGCTGACAGAGAGTGGGCCAACAGGGAAGGAAGGATTTGGTTACGGGGGTAATTGAAACATTGAAATGAATACAAGGGGGTAACAGGCACCCCAATGTATCATCAAAGAGATGGGAGCGAGAGCTCAGAAAATAAGGCTGAGGCAATGCTGATCCCGCAGTCAATTTTTAAACCGGGGTTTCACCGAGAATCTGGTAGGGAAGTTGTTAGGCAGTCCCTGAGCAGCTAATCAAACCTCACCTAAGTGAGATCATAAATAAGCAGCAGAAACCTTCGAAGCTTCACATCAGCCATATTCCACACCCTCCCTGTCTTAGAGTCTCGCTTTGTACCAAAGCAGCAGGTTTCAAAACAGTTTCTGAAGATGCTGGCACACTTAAAAAAGGAGAGGGAGGAGAATCTTACCTGCTGAGATGGAGACTATGACATCAGCAGAGGTTTACACAGGGGATGTATATTTAGTTTTCACGTCTTTTTTGCAGCATGCCGATATTCAGCTAAACGTGACACCAGTGAAACAGTGCAAATAAAATCTGCAAAGCAAGCGGCTATGAGTAATGGCCCTACGCCCCTGTTTAATTAAAAGCCTTTTTTTTCCTGCCATGACACCCCCTGCTCCACACTCTCTTCATCCCCACACTCTCACGGCACATTTTTACCAGGGTGTGACTAATTGTAAGAGCTGACAGCAGCATATACTTAATTAAAATTGTTTGCACCCCCAGCGTTTTGTCGGTCTTGCGCGCGCACACACACACACATGCATGCACACACACAGAAAGCCTTAGGTGAGAACGTGTGAACAATGAGGCCCCAGGGATCATCACCACCTCAGAATCATCATGTCTCTGATGGGCGGCGGGGTGCTAACGAGGGCCCGTAACTTGGGTGCCTGTCAGTGGGCCACGACTTTGTCTCCTGTCCTCCAAAGGGCAGGCTGGACTCATGGGGTGGGGAGAGAGTAGGCAGGCACACACACGCCCACTCACCTATGCCCCCTCAGGTCTGTCTCCCTGCCCCCCTGCGAAACTAATGACACTTAATCACCCCCTCACTCAAGCACTGTAGTTATTTCTAAGACATGTGTACCTCTCCATCCAGCTGGAGTCCTTTAATCTTGTAAAACAACACATGAAGCTGATTATTAATTTCAGTTTCTTCAAACAGTCATAACAGTGGGCTACCTAAGTTCACGTGACTCTGTGCTGTGGCCCCCCCACGTGTGAAAAGGCAGGACTATCTGCCCCCACCGTGGCAGCTAGGGGGCGCCAAATCCACCCTCCACCTGTAGAGCTCATTAATCAGGCACCATCATTAACTGCTCCGTAGCTGCCATCTGCAAGGAGGGCGCTGGAGGAGCTGCCCCCCCCCCCCTCCCTCCCTGGCCACCCGCTGCATGGGAATGGTGCGACACGGCTGAACTGTGATCAATCACTGAGGCCAGACAGAGACCATAACAGACAAGGAGAGAGAGGGTCTGTGCTGTGTGTAGGGCCAACTTGTGCCCCATCCAGTATGGCAACAGGGTAAAGAGAGAGCTCAAGCAAGAAAAAGACAGAGAAGAGGAAGTCCATTATGTGTAAAGTCAACTGGTGCTCCATGTAGAATCACTCCTGGCCAAGGATGAGTAGGCCAACTACACCAGGGGTTGGGTAGAGGAGTGTGAGTTAACTAGAAAGCAGTGAAATGTATAAAAACTTGGTGGTTATTTTTAAAAACCGGCAATGCACAATGGACCAAACAGGGGGGCTTACAAAACAAGCCACTAACTGTGCAGCACACCTGTAATTAACCAAAATAATAACAGGTGCAAACACCAAGTATCAGCCACCCCACGGAAACAATTAGACAATCAACTCGGAGCAATGTCACACAGTTTAAATACAAACATTGCATGGAATAGAACCGATGAATGAATATTTACGGCCCAGAAAACAAATCCAGCAATAACCACAATTAATTTGACAATATAAATCCTATTAAAACAATGATGAGTGATAACGGTTCTCCTACTAATGGAAAAAAATTGAGAAAGTATAAAATTGCAAGTGTAGCCGTGAAAGCGTTTGATGCTCTTTTGTTTTTGAGAGCTTCTATAACAGGACAACTTTGGAAATACAAAAGCCGACTGCAGTCACAGCTGGCAGTTAATGTCCTCCTTGCATTAATTATTTGTTTTCTGTTTACTGGTTATGTGACCCCCCCCAATCTTGGAAGTGGACTTCCTGCCCACTCTTTTTTCCCCTGACATGGATGGGGAGGAACATCCAGGCCCCCCCACCCAGCCATCCCATTTGGGGAGGGTGGGGTCCTTCTTTCACACAGTGGGTTCCCTGCATGCCTGTCACATGGCACTGTGTGGAGATGGATCCCTCCAGAGGCGTGACACTTAGCACTGTGAGTGCCTCTCCTTACTCTCTGACTGCCTGGTCCCTTTTAGGCCTTTTTTGCTCCCCCCCCCCAAAAAAATCCTTCTTCTCATTCCCCATACCCCCTTGCTGTGCTACATTGCACAATACAGTGAGTGTTTGGACCCAGAGCCTTATAAATGCCTGTAATTATATCACAAGAACAGCAGCATATCTTCCTTAGGGCACAGTAATTACAGGCTCCTCTCAGCCTCCCTGTAATTACCCACTCCCGTCCCAAACCATGCTGACCTCACCCGGACTCCCCAACCCCTCCCCCACCCCCCACCCCCCACCCACTCCAAACCAAGGAACGGGATGGGAGACAGTAGCTTCCCACACAAAAACAAAAAGAGTTGTTATTAGCAAAGAATGAAGACCACACCCAACACCAGTGCACAATTCACCTGCCCACCCTCTCTAACCGACACTCAAAACAAGACATGCAGGCATGTGAACAATCAGCCTGTTGTTAACATGCAACCCCCCCCCCCCTTGCCCTCTGACCCTGAAGAGACAACAGCAATGACCTCAGCAGTCAGCACCCCACCCCGTCTGGGCCCAGCCCATCCAGGAAACGTCGCCCAGGCAGGAGCCACTCTCATAAATCATGCCCCCCAGGTGAGTGTGTTTGCACTGGTCTGATTTTTTTTTTTGTACCCGCTCCCACCCCTCCCAGTTTCACACAATACACTTACTTCACATGGCTCAAGAATGTGGGTTTCTGGAGGCAGTGGGGGTTGGGGACAATTGGTTAGTGTTCTTATCATTTTGCTGTATTCTCATGGTGGCTTAAAAAATGCCATGTGCCTCGGAAATGATGTCACTCATATCAACTGACATTTGGTGGTGGTTGTAGCCCTGTGAGTAAACTGTCGAGCTCACTGTAGGCTCACTGCTGAGGTCCAATAACTGGGAGGAGTTTGGAAAACTGCTTACTTGGCCCCTGAGTGGAAACTGACTGCCCTGGAATATAGTTTACCCAGCAGAGCAAGGTGCTGCACCGTATCATGGTGGGCAGAATGGTCACCTGGGGCTACCAGAGGATTCATGACATCATGGGACAAGCAGAACCTTTTGTGTTAGGTGGGTGAGCTTGGTGGATGGTTACCTCACATTTGCAGACAGGCACTCTGCCAGTCACGCCAGGGTCCCCCTGAATAGCAGGCCAACCAAGAAGAATGATTATTTCCTATGACATTTTGTGGAAACGTGGCCCGCAGTTTCCACAAAATGTTCAATTGTCTCCTTCTGGCCGTCAACCTTTTAATTATCAGCCTGCCCAATGTATTCGGTAGAATATGTAAAAATACAGAAATGTCCGGTAAAATGGGTCTAATTGGGCCACAGTGAGACAATATGAAGATCCAGCTCTAAAACGCAAATCATTTCCATGACGTTTGCACATTCACAGGCTATCCCCCCGTGCAGCCGCAGGCTGATTGGGGACCGGCTTTGGGGACGCCCCCATTTTCCACGCATGGACCGGTAAGCACAGCAGTCTCTGTTTACAATAGATGTTGCCCCCCCCTTCTCCCAGAAGGTACCCCGAGGAGGGGGTGTGAACGTGAATCAAACTTCCTGCAAAAATTACATCAGACACGGTGACCAGGTAACTAGAGGAGACCAGGATAGGGGGGGCCGGGGGATGCAGGTGACCAGGTTACCGGGGAGATTGAGAGGGTAGATGGAGGGAGAGTGAGAGAACAAAGCAACGCAGAAAGCCAAGAGAGCGAGCCAAGGATTACAGAAGGAAAACACTGAAGGGACTGCATCTCACACTTCACCTCACCTTAGCTGCTGTTGTCACTGTTGCCCTTGTTAGTGTCGCCAGCGACATAAGTCAGGTAATTCGCCCTGACAAGAACCAAAGCGGATGGCTAAGTGTTCTGGCAGTGCCATTTGTTGTGCATGGAGCCTGGTTAAACTGACCCAATCCGACAGATCCGAGACACACGGGACCAAAACAAGCCGACGTCTCTCTCGCACACAAACACACACAAGCACACGCGTGTGCAAACATCATCTCTCCTCCTCTCCGTCGTTGCGTCCTGCTTGCATCAGAGGCCCTGCTCCCCCGGGAACTGAGGGAGGAGCTACGGGTTAGAGAGAACAAGAGAGGAGAGGACGTAGAGGAGAAGGGGGAAGGAGGGACGATCGATTTACTTGCCGCTCCCGAATCTTACCCTGCAGGGGGGGTACGGCATTTCTTAATTAACAAGTGACAGTGCTGGGCTCACCCTGTCACTCTGCTGCCACAGACCCAGCAATCTTTCCAGACACCCATGCACCAAACATGGTGTGACAGCTGACCTTTTGTATTTGACCTTTTACCTTTAACAGGAAGCAGCTTACCGAATTGCACGAGCCAGACTCGCGCTGCAATTGAAATAGAATTATAATAGAAGAATAATGAATGAAATAAGTCAACAGCACAGCACTGTTTCGCTCACGCAGCTTGGCACATTGCGACAAGAATGTCTGACGAGTTGCCTAATATGCATCTCTCACGATGTTGCCTTTCATCATACGCGACTCGGCCAGATCGCATGGAGGTATGAAGCAGACCCACGCTCGCCTCCGCTGCCTGCGGCAGCTTCATTTGAGGGAATGCGGCGTCACCACTAAAGTACACATCACTGTGTTTCCTTGCTGGCCTGCAGCAGGCACATCCTGCTGTGAACCATCCCACCCAGCTGGGCCACATCACCGAATGGGCAGGAAACAACTTGGATGCTAAATGCCACAGCGTCAGACCAGACAAGAGTTTGCCCTGAAATGAAATCTGCTGTTTTTTTCCAGAAAAAAGGACAATATTCCCCCAAAGCAAAGAGAAGCCTTTCTATGTGATAATTACCAGTATTCTCTCATTAGTCCACAGTGCTACATTATTTATGAATGTCAGTTTAGCATTCCTTGTTGTTATGGCCTTCTCTACGGCATAATCAGTCTGCATCCCCAGGCTGGCTGTAACTGCGGTGTAACTCAATACCTGCTCCTGAACTGGTATCGGACTGATGTTGGTCGCTGTTATACGATTGGCCTGTTATACGATTGGCCTGTTATACGATTGGCCTGTTATACGATTGGCCTGTTATACATCACTTCTGAATTATTTGTGCACAGAAGCTGAATTGGCAATTTAGGGTTCTCAAAGGATTGGCTGTCGGGTTCAAAGGTCAGCGAATAGAAATCCAAATAAACTGACAATAGGTTTTGCTTCAGTTTGCCAGCCAGTAGGACAGTCATATCATAATGGGCCGAATGGCCTGACGGTGTTTCAAAATACGTGATGAATTGTAGACAAGAAAGGGTGCTATTGAAGAGTCTTAATGTTTGATATCTTCTCACATAGATGTCTGTGTTAAAGATTTTCTATATAAAGCAGAGGTGTTTTGTTGCTGTGCACATACATTCACATGTGGGACTGGCTGTCCAATAAAACCTGCATTTTAATTGGGAGATTTAACTTTTAGATAAACCCATGTGCATAAGTAAATGCATGCACACCATGCCTCAGAACTCATAAATTACTGTGTTATAATAATGCTAATATATTAATAATAATCATTATAATAATAACAACAATAATAATACATCAAACTTTTATATCAAAGTGTACAAAAGTGTTGTAAAGTTTAAATCCGTGTTCTGGCTTTTCACCTTGTCCCAGTGTTGAGCTGTGAAACAGAGCGATGCTGAGGTGACCTTGAGATTGAGATTCAATCCCCCTTCTTCACGGATCAGCACATTTCATATCTTTAAGGTGTTTAAAGTTAGAAAAAAGTATAATTATTTTTACCTGTGTTGTTCATGAGGTTTGAAAATCATGTAAATGTATGATACATGAATAGTGATATGTTTTACTTAATGTGTTAAAATATTAGCTATGAGTATTATGACTAACCCAAATGATTGCAGGAAAAAAGTTTAAACAGGTCAACTAACAACTGGCTGTTGTGTCTTAGGATAATGAAATGGTAATTTCAAACAAAATATATCCCACAAAACATTTTGGAGTGGAATCTGAGCTGACCTCAGGGTGGTGGTCATTACAGGAGTACATGGTTTGTCGTGGAGTCATGGAGCTGACGCCACAAGGCTGGAATGAAGGAACAGAACAGCAAAGCTAACCAAACAAAGAGAGTCTATTATAGAAGAAACCACAATCAAAATGGAATCACAAACCCTTCAAGTAAACCACAACTGGGACAAAAACGAGCTCAAAAATATGTAAAAATCACAAAGAAACACGGAAACATAAAACCAAGATCGAGACACCCTTCTCCATATTTTCCGTTCTCCAACATTCTGCTCATTACAACCATCCAGCTGACCTTATACAAAAAACCTTACCAAGCAATTAGTCTAGCCAGGCTGGGTTTCATTCACCTGTAGGCACAAGGCAGGCGATCAGTCGCTTTGGAAATGACAACGGTGCCCTAAACCATGCTGCTGCTGTACCTCCTGCTTCCTCACAAGGTGCACACATCAAATTGTGACTTAATCCACTAATATTAGATGTTTGTGTACCCCAAACACTGCATATCCAGGGGTTCTATGGTGTCCTACTAGGGACACACAGCACGGCGTCTGAATTGCCACCCCCTTAAAAACATACTTATTTAAGAAGCTTGCATTTCCCATGAGGATGATTAAGTGCCATTTCATCGCTGTTGTCCCTCGGGATAGATATTGACGAGAGATTCACATTGGCCGGCCATTTTAATATCAACCATGAACACGGCAGTGGCCTGATTGAGAAAGGGGACTTACTGTTGACCTGGATAAGAAAATATTGATCACAAAAGGAACAAAGAGAAAAGGATGCAATGGGTTTACTCAACTCAAGAAAACAAAAAAAAAAAAACAGGTGAGATTTCTTGAGGTTATTGCTCTCTAATTCGTAACTTGGAGTTCCTAGTCAGAAATTTCAACTGGAACACCCCCTCAGTTCGGAATTTCAGCTCTTGAACTTGGAGGAATCGACACAACCCCGACCTCAGAATTCAAGATGGCGGCACCCTTTATCAGCAGAAGTTAAAGCTGTAGTTTATACTGTTTATTAGTCCTTACGTCTTATTTGTGGCTCATTAAATCAATCAGCACACAATACTGTCCAACATATCTGTGGAGGGTTTACTACAGAGTTTTATGCACAAAGCACAGTATAATGTGTTATTAACTGATATTGCTAATAATGGCTAACAATTAACCGGGCTAAAATTGGATTTCATGCTCAGTCGGATTTTTTGTCGGATTTAAGGTAGTCCAGGCTAAATGTAAGCGAATTAAGATAAAGCCTATTTAAACTGAGGTTCCTTAAGTCTGACAATTTGTCCAGCTAAGCAAAAAATCTTGCTTTTTGAAACGGGTCTCTGGTATTGTTAAATGAATGTGTTTAACTCATGTGTGATGTCATTCCCAGTTCCGACCTCCAAGGTAAATGGAACACAGCATTAATTGCAGAATAAAACTCTAGTCAATAGGACATCCAACATGTATGAGAGTTTTGTTTAATTCCACCACTCTGTCCAGACAAAAGAACACTGGCATGACTGTCAGACCCACTTAAATGCTGATTGATACTGAAATGGAGATACTGCATAATGAATATATCAGATGAAATTACATGCAATTTTGTATTTGTATGCTTTAGATGCATATAGTGGGTTGGACTTCTTACAATTGTATCTCCCTGCTGAACTCCTGATTGGTAAATGGGATGACTCCAGTCACACTAGATTTTCCTCGAATTTAGCCTTGTGAGATCAAAACAAAAAATATGGCAGGGCCAGCACAGTGAGCCATGCCAAAAGCATTGGTCTGGACTTCAAAAACAATATGTACACACACATGGAGGGAAGGGGCGGCAGGGGGAACATGTTTAAAAAGGCAATTGTAAGCTGTGTCCTAGCCTTCTCATTTAAAGCCAGTAAACAGTCTTTGGAAGCAGATTGAGGCCTTTTGGAAAAGCCTGTCTCATTTCTGTCAAGAAGCATTGCAAAGGTTCTATGAAGTGCTCCAGAATGCCATGCAAGCACCCAGCAGTTGTTTGGTAGGACTCCTCCCAGAATGCTTGACTCGACCCCTGATGAATACCCATGCTATCTAGAGGAAGGTCAAGTTGTGCGACTAGTCAGGGCCACCTCAGACGTTTCTGTACAGTGCTGAAGGCAGTTAAGCCTGGCAAGTGGTTGGAAAGCACATCTGAACAGTTCGACCCTGGCAGAGTACAGAGGTGAACATGCACGTGCACACACACACAAAAGTCAGAGGGCAAAAGTCCCCTTCTGTCTGATGTGTGGTTCACAAGGCTATTCTACTTCAGCCCACGTGGTAAACATGTTACAACTCTGGACACCACAACCATTTATTCCTGGCTGCGTAGCATATCACATTTCTGATCCAACATTTCTCTTTAAGAACTTGACCAAGGTGCGTCATGTTGACACTTCACCTGTACCATGCTGGAGGTAAGTAAAAAGCAATGGTCCCCAACACACCTACAACTTTTAGGTTCCTGAACATAAACCCCTCCCTTTTTGACCCCTTGCAAAAAGACTGTGTTGACCCCTCAGCACCTAATCAAACTGCCCCATGTAGAGGTGAGGAAACTACAATATTGAACAATGGGAGACACCTCTTGATCAATGGGCTTTCGACTGGAGAGTCTTCTGTAACCATTAATAACATGTGTGCAATTTTTCATGCAAACAGGCCCCGATCTGTTAAACCATTTGGACTTTCACAGCAGCATGGCGCAACATAATAAATTATCCATAATTGATTTTTGTCATACCTGAAAGGCCCTTCCCACCAATGACAGACACGCACCGGTGGCTAAATCATGCCGTTAATGACTGCTGAGGCTCACGGGCAGGAGAAAGGAAGAGGCTTGCACAGTGTGCTGAATTGATTATGAGGATGAGTGGCAGACAGGGATGACTAGAAAAAAAACAGTGTGAAAAGGCTTAGCTCTTGTGAGATGATGGAGTCACTTCTGTAAAGGGAATGATTTGGGTCCAATAGCAGCTCTGGTAGAGGGCAGCTTTGGAAGGTGAAGGCTTTGTGCCCTGTAGCTGCAGGGAAGGGGCAAGGAGATGGGGAAGGGTTGCAGAGATAAGACTGTCGTTGCTCCACTGACACTTCCACAGCTTCGCTCTCCATAATGGATCCCTAATGTACGATATTCATCACAGGACTGTCTATGCATTGCTACTCTCCCCGGGTTGCTACGCCACAGGCTTTTAAATCCCCTTTTTCACCAAAAAAAATGAGGAAGATGATGAATGACGGAGGAGAGACAGAAGGAAATGAGACAGAGAGAACGAGAACAAGTCAAGGCAGGAATCTCACCATTTTCTGACTTGTCCTCAGAGATGTTTTTTAAACAAAACTTTGTGGTCAAACAGGTTACAAACCTTTGCTTATCTGCTATCTGATACCCCCAAACTGCAGTCTGGGAGACCTATTTAAGGGGTTTGCTCACGGGTATGGACAGATTTCAGAAGAAACACATGAGACAATTCAACACTCACCATCTGATAAACACAGCAAAATAGTCTAAATATGTGGAAGTGGAGGGGATGGTTTGACGAAAGTAAAACCGTCGCTGTAAATAGTTATCCATTTGGTGTATCTGTTTAACTTTAAATGTACATCATGTGGCTTGTGGGAAATCAACAGAATCTGCAAAATGGGGAAAAGGCATACTGCTTTTATAACACAAACACACATCTCCCCATTATTCTGCCTTGGGCCACTACACTAAATATACTTGCTCCTGATCTCTGCTCCCTAATTTTTCTTCATAGGAAGGTGAACCATAATAACAGGATGAGAGCTTATGAAGCACACAGAGATTTCAAGGGAACTGGGTGGAAATCGTCTTGGGTGGTGGCCATACCATCAGGAATATGGAAATGAATATATAGATAGAAGTGGGGCATCCTTCATCTCTCCCAGAATTCCCTAGGGAACCTCTCGGGAATATAGAAGGCGCTGGATCATTGCACCAACTGTTCACCTGAACTTAGGAACCCTACTGTCCAAGGACTTGTCCGGCCTATGTGACGTAAGAGGGGGACCTTGTGGAAAGACAAAGCTGTGGGACAGACTATATCACCCTTAAACAGGAATCCCGCTCTTTCTCTGTTCCCCCTCCTATTCCCCCCCTCCTGCTCACCACCACAAACACTACAACTGGTATGTTCCCAATGGCTTAAATACAACAAAACATGCATTAAAAGATGATATGTTTATTGAGTCCTCTATTGCTGTTCCGCCAAATCTGGGGCAACCCTCTAAAGGTTTAATCAATTTTAGAAAACAAAATTCTATGAAAAATACAGCACAATAAACAAATAAAAATAATTATCTGAATTACAGGCGAATGAAATTATGGCAATGTAATCTGTGTTTTGGGGGGGAAAAGTGCAGAAAATGAGGCCGCATTCGCTTTCCAGGAGGTGGCTTATCAAGAGGGGAGGCAGCAAGAACCTGAAAGTCAGATGGAGAGGGAGACAGGGAAGGCATCACATTTCCCAAAGTTCTCCTCTGCCCACAGGCCCTCTTCAAGGATTAGCCTATTAGGGGAACTAGGATGCACTGGAGAGTCAGGTCACAGTTTGAAAGTGAATACTGTGATGTAGGTGACTGGCTCCACTTGCCCTGCCAGTTTATGGCCCATTCATGGGCAGCAGCAACGTATTGTACCACACCAGCTCTCCATTGATGTCACTCTATTTGATTCCTCCTCTCTGACTGCTGCAGACCCATTAAAATACCCATGTGCTTGGTCATTTCCACAGTAAAAATATATTACAGCCCTGAACATCATGCGGCAGGGCTGCAAAGAGTAGTGGGCAACATGGATGGTGAAAAGCGATAACTCAAGCACTGCATGTCTGATCTTTGACCTTTGACCCAGCTTGTATCAGCCCCTCCCTCCTTAATCACAGAAGCATGAATTCGCTGATGGAACGCTGCCTCTCAGTGACATCAGCACTTCTGTGAAGGGAGCTGCATTATGATGCAACTTTTCTTCACAGCCAAGCAAGATTACGACTCCTTAATCCGAGTCGGCCCTTCTGGGAAACCGCGGTACCGTATTGGAGACCTTTCTAGGTGTGGTGTGTGGCAAATTTCACAGTGTGAAGACATCTATGGTCCATCAGTGCTCCCCACTTCACTGGATGGACACCTACTCCACACCGTATTTCATTAAACACAGATAAATAGAAGAAAAACCAATAATTTCTAAAATATTTATCTTAAAGTGCCAGCACAAATTTATTTAACAATTAACTTGCTTTAGGAGTTGCATAGCTGATTTTAAGGTCACACATAAATACTCATTAGGAATAATAAAAATTGCCATCATTCAGTGGGCTTGCATTCCTCTCTGCTGTAGTTAAGTTAAAGTGCCATAAATGTACGATTTAAAGTTCATTAATGCCTTCTAAATATCCCTGCCAGCTATTTTTATGAATATTAGTACTGTTATGAGCCCTCATTTCTACCCATGTTTATTACAATGGGAGTGGCTCCAACCGTGAGGTTATCTGTCAGTACCGAACTAAATAAGCACGACAGAAAATAGCATTTACTGTGGCGGTAATGACAGAGGCAGATCAAACGGGTACAGCCTGTCATTCTTACCCAGCGCTATCAAAGTCCAGGTATTTATTGTCGAGATGGGCACCTTCACCCAGGATGTCTGTGTAATTATATGCAGGAAGACCTTCATTTTCTGCGTTCCACAAAACAGAACATAAAAGGAGTTGCGGGCAGGGGCTTGTAATTGTCTTTCTCATTGTGGGAGAGAGAGAAGGGAAAAAAACAGGGCAGCCATAAAATTCCTGCATATCCTGTTTACTGTGGCCGTCTCCCCTCTTGCCCTTCCCGCTCCTCCCACTGTGTCTCCACTCAATTGTCGGTTCATTATTCCTGAGTTTGACTGCAGTGGGGAGGGGGGTCCATTGCCTTCAAGACAGATGTGTAAATTGTTGTGCTAATGCATTGCCTTGACGGCTGAGTCCGTCGGAGAGAAATGTGTGCACTTTGGTGACACCATGTCACGGTCATTTGCTTGCTGTACTCACAAGTGCTCACAAAAGTCTTTTTTTACAACATTTATAAGTTATGGAGATGTACCCATGGGGTTGATTTTGAAGAACTGATGATTATTAATTAGTATTTTTCTGCCCTACAAACTTTGGCAAGTTGTCTCTGGTCCCATGTTGGCTGGCTTATCAAACGTTTCTCTTTCCATGCGTGATATGGGCTCTGTCAGCTGTTGCTTTTGACTGGCTGTCCCTCCACAATCCATATGTCCCAGCATGTTCTGTTCCAGTCTCCTCCCGGAGGATCCACCTGTCAACCATGTGGAGCACTGACCCTGGCTCCTTGCTGGCAGACCCTTGGCGGTCCAGCCAATGGGATCCCATCTGCTGTCTTTCCGTGCGGCCTTCT